AGAGCGGGACAGAGCGGGATAGAGCGGGACAGAGCGGGATAGAGCGGGATAGAGCGGGACAGAGCGGGATAGAGCGGGACAGAGAGGGACAGAGCGGGATAGAGCGGGACAGAGCGGGATAGAGAGGGATAGAGGGGGACAGAGCGGGACGGAGCGGGACAGACGCTCCACAGACCGCAGGGAGCCTGAGAGCATGCCGGGCACCTTACTGCACAGAAATGGGAACACGGATACAGAATAGTGGCAGTATATTTTATAATAGCTACAAATGGACAGACACTTCTGACAAAAAGTAAACCCTAAAAGAGGAAAGTTTAATTGAACACCCCATCCGCCAGTCCCCCCAGTTTAGATACGCAGTGCAAACCCTCGTATGTGGGACGGGGGTGGAGTGCCCATGCCTGCCTCGGGAGGCACCTCCTGTGCAGCCAGGAAGATGTGCCAAGGTCTCTTGTGCAGAGGGGACCCAAGGTGCCCACTAACCCTCTTGGTGGCTCTCTGGATGAGCTTCCTGTACTCCTTGTTCTCTTCGTCCTGCTGGTCCCGAAAAAAAAAAAATTCCCAGAGTTTCATTCATCTGTTGTGAATGAAACTGACGCTGTGACACAAAATGCAAATCCCCCTCCTTCTCCTGCCCCTTGACTGGAGTTTCTAGAATGGCTGGAGAACTCACACTTCACAGCCAGCTGAACATTTGCAGGCAGAGTTCTGACCTCCTACTGTGTGCAATTAACACTAATTAAACAAATAAGTAAAAATTATTCATGACATCCTTTGCAGAAAGGCCTAACTCAGTTTTGTGTTGTAGCTGCTGGAGCTGTTTTAATCGGCTCTCTGTCTAGTGCTGCATCCTGGCATGGGCTGCTGAGGGAGCAAGGAGACACAGAACGCCTCTACACCTGGACTGAGGTTACAGGGCTGCCCCAGAGCAGGGGAGGCAATCGTGGACAGACGGTGAGGCTGGCCAGTGACCTCGGCTTCAGAAGCTCCCCTGTAGACCCACAGGACTCTGAGCAAGGGAGCACAGCATGAGGAAGTGTGTGGGAGTCTCTAAAATTGCAGCAGTCACAGCAATGAAAGCCAAGTGCCGTCTAAATCTACAGCTAAGGTGCCTTTTCTCTTACAAGGATTCCTGCTTCAGGCAGTGAACAGAGTGCAGGACAAGTTCTAGATCAATCTCTGAGCCTCCCAAGGAGAGCTCATCAATAGGAAATTACAAAATGAAAAAAAAAATTAAATTAAGGTAACAATTTCAAAATTGGCACCTTTTCCAGGTCACCCTGTTGCAGGCACCCTGGGGCTGGTTTTCAGAGAAGCCCAACCCTTGAATTTCCCAGCACCTTTGAAACCAAGCCAAGAACATTTTGCCCAGAGGTGGAGGCACACAAAATTAGGTTTCCTTTTTAAGATGCATGTTGGCTGTGTTTGAAAGCCATATTATCCTTTATAATTTTTACCCCTCCCCTCCAGAATTTTCTGGAATCTTAAGCTGAATCACGAAAATGATGCAGGTCAGAAAACTATCCTTGAATCCATTCCCTCCATATCCTTTCATCCTGCAATTGTTGCTGCATGCAAAGGGGTAGGTGGGTATCAGGTAGGTACCTCCAAATTGCATGGGGAAGAGTTCGCCCAGTAACACTTGCTGCTTCTGTAATCAAGAAGAGGGCAGGGTCAGATCTTGAGAGCAGAGGGTGAAGTCTTGGTGGCATAGTACTGTGGTGATAAGACTGAGTTTGTTCCTTGCCCGTGAATAGTCTTCATCTATGACCAAGGATAAAAATTTGAGATTTTGTCCATGTGCTTTCAGACATAGCAGGAGAGAGGGCAGAGTGCAGCTTTTTTCCTTAAATTTACAGGTATGTCCTACCTGTGTATGTGCTTGCATGCTGGACCGCGTTGTGATACATCCTGGGCTCCTCATCAGTGCTTCCCACTAATCTCAAGCAGTCATAGTACTATTAGACACTGCTTGCTTGGGCTGCCTTCTGACATCACTTGCCAGTGTTGTCCACAAAAACCAATTTGCAATACCGTTTGAACCTGCTTATGGCAGCTTGTAACATCTACAAGTGGGAGCTACTGCTTTGAGCCCTTTGGGGGAGGGTACAGAAATGCTTTCCTTACCAGCTCAGGAAGGGAGAGGGGCAAGCCCCAGGACTGACCCTAGAACTCAGGTGACAGTATAAAAGGGGAGTTGTTACCCCATCCCCAGGCACATGCACTATCATGTTCTATTATTTGCCTTCTCAAAGAGATCTGTGCTGGCTTTGTGGATCACCATGGAAACTGCCAGAAACAGTCATGCTGGGGAAGCTCAACAACCACTGTTCTGAAAGTGCTTTGTCTGGGGATCTCATCTGTGTAGGGATGGAGCTCTCCCAACACTGCTCACCCGGGGATGACCCCTCCTGAGAGAAGCAGGCAGAGGGATCTCTGCAGGAGCTCTTGACATTTCCACCCTCCATGTGGAAGTGAAATAATTCCTCCCTTTACACAATGCCTTGACAAGTCTGAAAGATCCCAGAGCAAAGATCACAAACATCTGGGAACTGTGTGCCTGGGCTCTGGTGTGAGACCAGGAACAAAGCCAAAAACCTCTCCAGCGAACCCCTCCTGCACTCTCATGGAGGACAGCCTCCATGCTGGTTTCAGCAACAAAAGCTCTGCAAGTAGGAGTCCTGCGGCAGTGAATCATGTTCTTCTCCACACCCCATCCTGACATCTGGCAGCTGTAGGCATAACTCCAGTGCAATACTGGGACGGCAGCCAAAACCCTTCCCACAGACTAGCCCCATCTCTTACTAGTGTCTTCTCTCCCCCACTGCCAGCCAGCACAGGCCACCCTACTGGTTATGGAAGGGCAGCAATTCTGCATCAGAGCATCTTGTGCAGCATCCTCTGCCTCTGACCACAGCACTATCTCAGGTATGCATTCCAAAGTTCTAAGACCAGGGCCCAAACAGAGGGCAAGCTGGGACCTACTTTGGCCTTTACTAGAAATATTGAATCTGGGAATAATATTTTCCCCCAGCTCTGCCATGGACAAGGACAACACTTTCTCCTAGCCTACCCAAATTTCTCCAATCCAGCAACCCTTTTCACAAGTCTAGCAATGATCAGACATGGGTTCTCTCCCCATGGTCTCTTGTGGTCTGAGTTTTTATGCTGAGAAGCTATTTTCAGTGATGGGTGGGTGCAGAACTGTAATGAACAACAGCAGTAATAGGGGTCTATGTTGAATGGAGCTCCTCTGGCTACCTGCAGCACACACTATTGCCTCCTCAGCACTCACCCCTAATAGACATGCCCCTCAGACAGATGATGTTTAAGAATGGGGCTGAGATGACCAGTCGGTCCATACAGCTGTCACTGCTGCTGCTGCTTGTCAGTGGTTATTTCTGACCAGAAATCTGGTTAACCACTGACCAGTGGTTATTTCTTTTACTTGGCTTGAATTCAAACCAGTAATCTATAAATTAATTGGTTCCCTACTCCCCATGTTGTTTAGATCTCTTTCTCTGGTGCAGCTCTGTAAATAGGTATTTTCCCGGTATTTCACAGGGTACCTGGGAAGCAAAATTACCATAGGCTGTTGCCTACTTTGCCCGAGCTTCCCTCCCCCTGGGAGGAAAGACCTGTTCCTGCCATTTAGGGAAGGTCTGAGGGGTATGGACTGTCCCTTGCAGAAGCACAGGTGGCCCTCTCTCACAGCACTGGGGCTGCCAGAGCAGCAGGTCCAACTCTCCAGGGCTCTTCCTGATCCCTTCCAGCATCTTGTCATAGCTCCACTACTCTCCTTCTATGCCTCCTTCTCCTTGGCAGGAGCAGCCAGGCCTCTCATCCCAAGGACAGCAAAATTTGGTTTTTTGAGCGCTGTTGAGCCAGCTCTGCAAACTTGTAACATCTGGATTGACATAGTTTACCTGTGACATGCATCACCACTTGCACAGCAGTTACAGCTGTAACCTGTGGACTCAGAAACAGATTCGAAGTGTGCTGTGCTATGTGGGAACCTTTGGGGCTGCATACCAGCCAATGCCAGACACAAAAAGACCACACAAAACAAATACAGTTGTAAGGACTCTTTTCCTTCTCCACAGCTTGAAGCCTCCCACATGCCATCCTCCTTTCTTCCCTGCTCTGAAAAGGGAGTTGTACAGGCACACACAAGAATGCTGATAGCAATCCCAAACTGACTTTTTCAGATCCTGTTGTCTAATCTATTATCTAGATAAATCTATGGGAATATAAGCATTAGAAAATATTAATTACTGTGAGACATGTTATATCTGTGTATTTTTATAGAGAAGAAAGTTAAGTTTTTTATCACAAGTTACTTTATTGATAGTTGATGACTTCCTAATCTATTGGAAAAAGACATAGTGAAATCTGGTACTTAGAAGCTGAAATTGGAGAAATGCAGAGATGAAACAAGGCAAGAACTATTAATACTCAGAATAACATTTAGTTGCCCCCTTGTCAGTTGCCCTGACTCCCTAAGGAAAATGGGAATTCTCCATTGTTTTGCTCCGTGCCAGTCAAGACTGTATATATAAAACATATGTTCTTGCTCATGTTGTGGCTTGAATAGTACACGATTGTCTGTGCGTGAAGTGTGACGAGATGACCATAACACGATCAAAACCAGCTGACAAAATACTGGAGAGCAATGGTTTCCTGGCCCTCCCACTGGATCCTCCCACAAGCAACTGGTTTATGCAGCAAGGTGATCCACAGCTGCCAGTCTCTTACTTTAGTGCTGCATGAACTTGTCATTGCTGATTAGAAGAAAAGAAAGGCAGGGGGTTGCAACTCTGTGTTGTGTCTGTCAGCACACTGCAAACCCAGGAGAAAGAGAGTAAGGCACAAAGGCCATTTTCAACATTTTTAAGCCTCTAACACAGGTGGAATTTAGAGAACTACAATATGAAGCCTAAGCTGCTTGTGGAGAGCGACAAGTACCTCAAACAGGTGTTTCAAGGTACTGTTTTGTTTTTGTGCAAGTTTTTTCCCCACACAGGATTGAGCCTTCAATGGGGCTCTGACACATGAACTTTTGATCTGGCTGGTGTCCTTGTCCCTTTGGTAAGTTTTCAGTGGCACTGTGTCTGGAGCACAATGCTCTCTCCCACCTGCAGAACTCTGACAACCTTGCTTACTAAGAGAAAAAGTTCATTCTGCTCTCATCTTCTGACCCCTCGCTCACATTTATCTCTTTGTCCTTCTATTTAGGTATCTTGGATATGGTGCTCTCAACAAAGCAGTCTGTGCTTGTGTTGTGATAAGGATAGTCTGACAGTATAGTCTAACAGTGCCAAGCTAGTTCTCTTGGATCAGCCAGGGAGTTTGTTTTGTCAATAAGGTATTTGCTGTTTATAGTAAATTTTTCTTTTTGCTGAATGATTTGTCTGCAGATTGGAAAGACCTGACATACAGTGCTTGAGCAGTTATATTAAAGATAGCTGCCAAGGGAAACAATTTGGGAACAATGAGATACTACTGGATGTTCTTATTTTCTATTTGCATCATTTAATGAAAACAGTGATTTTTTTAATAATAAATTTTTAAAATACTGTAACAGAAGTGACAGACGATATAAGGAAGCACAGCTTTGAAGAATAATTGCATTAAATACGTGGCAGAACATTGTTATGTGAGTGCTGATGTGGTTCTGGGCCTTCAGGGGTTAAAGCAAGGTGTGCACAGGCAATTCTTAGGGAGGTACTTTGTATAAAGTTCAGTGGCTGAGGAATGTTCTGGCAGTCAAGCTTCGTTGCCTGGGAAAATCACAAGGCCAGATATTGACATTTCAGTGAGTGATATGATCCAGTTGGCTTTGCTGGTGTAAATGAGAGAACTTGACCAGTGCCTTTAAGGGAAGAATAAAAGTACCTTATAAAATTAAGATTGACAAATATTATGCTTGCATGCTGTGGTTGAAAGGAGCAAGAATAGGGTGGGAGAATAAAGGGAATAGATCCTCTTCTCACTTTGTGTTTGGCCAGCCTCAGTTCAGGAGTAGACTCTGTAAAGCATGAAGCTACATCTTGCCCTCTGAAATACCTATAGGGAGGCACAAATTGTGCTATTTCTGGTTATTTATTACAATTCCTTGATCACTGGGCATAATGATTAATACAGGCACACACAATATACAAACTGGAGGCAACTGGAGTCCCTTCTACTGGGAATTGCTGGAAAAATGTCTTTGGGTGATACTGTTCTAGCAGTCAGCTCGATCTCTGCCTGTATTCCTGCCTGTCCCTGCTCAGCTGTCCAAATGGGAGAGCTCCTCACCAGATGCCTGTTTCTTTTCAGTTCTTTGCCTATCTCCACCTGGCTCTCCAGCCATCCCTGTGTAGTGCTATCCTGCTCTCTGCCTGAACCAGCTCTGTAGCTCATGCTTTGTCTCACAGCTAGGAACAGGCAGCTTCATTCAACCAAATTCCCATGGAACTGGAAGCAGATGAGAAATCTAAAGCAAAACCGTCTTTAGGGAACTGCAGGGTCCTCAGAGTCTTTGGAAATCTGACTACTTATTTGGATAATGAGGTGTAGATTTCAGAGTCTGCCTTTATTCACTCCAGTGTCCAAATCTTGACCTTATGTTTTTAGTTATATTTTTATATTTTAACCACTTAATCACATCAGTCTTTTCATTTTTGCATAGTAAGTGATTTGGTACCCAATGTTTTTCTGCCGAGACATCAGTGAAAGCACAGTATCAATGTGAGGAAAAAGTTTACAATGAAAGTTTAATAAACAGCAGATGTTGAAACAGGCAATATCTGTATCTGTGAGTCAAATAACAATTCTTAAGATCTTGTTTAACCGTGTCTAGTGAATAGTGTTGCTTATTGTCCTAGGAGATAATTTTGTTCAGTCCTTCTGCGTGCTTCCTGGGTAGATTGTTGAAGCCTGTTGATTTCAGACTGCCTTGTTTTGCGAGCGTAGTCCCAACAGGTGCCAAAGCACAGTTTCAGAGCATTCATGGATCTCTCATAACCACTCAAGATATCATCATTCTGGTGCAGCCCTTCCCCAACAAGACTTACTTTCTCGAGATGAGACCAACTTTCATGGCAGTGAAGTGACCCATGTGAAAGATCTATGGAAAACGGCTGGAAAGAAACATGTCAGAGTGACTGTTGTTATCCCCACTGAGGGAAGGCTCACACAGACATTTTAGAAGTATCTCTGATGGAACTAATGTGCCTGATAATGGAATAAGTAACAAGTATTTGCTAAACTTGAACTAGAACAAAGGGCCTTTTGCTTTGAAACACCCTGGTCTGAGGCCCACATCTCTGGGGGTATTTCGTCCTGCCACCCCCATCTGTCTCCAGTCTCTTTCGCTTCCATTTGCATGCTGTGGTCTGCTCAACACAAAGGGAGAGAGTGTGGGCTTGGCCAGCCTGGGGTGTCAGGGAGTGGCCAGGGCACAGGGCAGCAGCCAGCAGCACATGGTGTGTGCACACATTTGCTGCCAGTGCCCAGCCTCCCGAGGCAGTGCAATATCACCAGTTCTTGGTATAGCATAGGCAATATACTCCTATGCATCACCATATATTCATATATAAGGCATTGCTGCATGTAAAGTAGCTCAGTAAGTGATGTCCTGATGCCTGAATAACATATTTTGTGTGCTGGCAGCTATCATTAGAAATGCTTGAGGCTCCAAACCTGTTAGTTTAAGCCATTTTATGTGAGAAATTGCCAAAGTACATGGTGCAGGTTGCTGTCCCTTGATCAGGAGACCATTACACTAGTTTGGTTTCATCTCTATCGTAGCACCAATCCCGTGCCCTGGGGCTGCCTGCAACGAGGGAAGGATGCTCCATCTGGAGCTGCCGACGAACCGCCAGCCCTCAGGGCTGCAGTGGTGGCCAGGGCAGCGTGCTTCTGTGGGTATCAGCTCCTTGCCCGCTGCTCCACGGAAAACGCCGCTGCCCTGGTGCTCTGGGGATGGTTTGGGTAGCATCAGCTCTGAGTGCTGGGAGATGACTGCAAGGCAGATCTCAGGAAACCCGGTGGCAGTCCTTGAAGGTGCAAGGTGGGAGGAGAGGGGGTTGTCCCCGCCCGGGGCAGAGCGCGGCTGCCACTCCTGTGCCTCGGGCCGCCCCGGCACCCTGCGCTGCCCGCCCCACCTGCCTGGCGGCCGAGCCCGGGAAGGGGTTAAAAGCTCGGGGCGGCTGATGTCAGTTCCTGCGCTCCTCGGGAGGGCCGGCTCTGATATTTGAGCCGGGCTCTCCCGCCCGAAGGAAACCGGGGAGGGAATGGTAAAGTGCTGAATGGGACAGGAGCCGTGCCGGGCACCTGCCTGCCGCCCGGCACCGCGCAGCCGCCCGCGGCCAGGGCCGGCCCCGCCGCGCCGCGGCTCGGGAGCCCCGGGACGCCGCCGGCCGCGCCCGTCCTGCCCCGCCGGGCAGAGACCCCCGCGCCGGCCAAGGTGAGCGCGGGCGGGACGCGCCCCGGGGCCCCGGCGGCTCTGGAGGGCCGGTCTGCGCCGGGCTGGCTGGCACAGCCTTTCCCCCCGGCTTGTCTTTCTTCGAAGGTGACCGTAAGGAGACTGGCGGGAGCGTTCTGGGGGTGATGTTTTGTCATCTCTGTTAAACTGAGGTTTGCTTTTGGGTCTGGGACTTTGGCCCTCAAGAGGTATGGAAGAAATGGGGGGAAGGAATGGCCGCACGAAGGGGAAGATGCAGCCCAAGAAATAAATGTGTGCAAGCTCTGCGGTCTCTTCTGCCTTCCTGGTAAGCCTCGGTGTGCGGGGCGAGACTCCGCAGGTAGAATGGCACAACTGGGAGCCCTTCTTCCTGCCTCCCGGCACTTTTACTAACTAAGCCACCTGCGCGGATGTAGAGGGGAAATTATTCCCCGCTCCAGGCCCTCGACAAGCCTTTTCCTTGCCCTTTCCACAGATTTTTGTGATATATTCTCCCCCCACGCCCCTCCCCGCCCATGCTCTGCACATCTCAGGCCGCACTCCCGAGCGGGAATTGATTGCGTGGCTGAACAATTCCAATGGCCTCAGTGCTAAAAAGCTGAGCGGTGAGATGAGCACGAAGTGGAAAGTGAGGTGGCTGGGGACAGGGTGTTGATTAATAGTACAGGATTTCCCCGCTGAGTTTTGCCCGTCGCCTTTGCTGCTGACCCCCTTGATGCCGATTCAGTGACATGGGACGAATCTCTTCCCTTTCATATGTTACATTTATCACTTTTGTACTGATTACTTTTGTAGTAATATGGTAGCTGAAAGTTAAACCAGTATTCAGCTCCGGTGTTCAGACGGGATCTTGTGCTTTTTATGGGCAGGTGCTGAGAACTGCAGTCCCCTGTGCTGTGAATCCCCTGTGACAGCCTGCATAAATCTGTTGCTGAGCTGAGCAGACACTCACATCTGGAGTATTGAAATAGTGTTTCACTTGTCTTTATTGTTTGCCCTGCATGAACAAAGCTGCAAACACTTTACTTGCATTTGTATCTGCACCTGAAAGTCCTCACATCGATTGATTGTTTCGGCTTTTCAGGTGGAAATGTACAAAGTCTCCTAAGTGTTTTGATTTCTAGTTCTGGATGCGCCTACATCTGCAACATCAGCTGGTTGTAGTCTAAAAACACAAAGAAAAACCCCCAATCACACGACATCTTGATTTAATGATCATATTTATTTTGAATATGGCATTTAGGGCCAGAACTGTCTCTGACTTTGGTCAAAACTTACAGATACATTCATGAGACTTCTAATTTTGACTCCACTTAGCAGGTGGTTGAGTCATTTTTTCCCCCACTGAGTTTTAAGGACTTTTTATCTGCCATTATTGTCACTGACAGTTGTTGGATACTTAACACTGAAAATCAAGCTGCTCTTTAAGAAGTGGCTGTATTCATTTAAGAATGAAGTCTTGGAAATCTCGGCTTGTTTGAATAGAGTGACTGTCTCCTATGTTCTAAGTCCCTAAAATGAGAGTACTGCCTCTGAAAATATCTGGCTCCCACCTTCTTCATATGTGTAAGGGAAAAAAGAGACAGCTTTTTATAAATGTATCCATGTAAATTCTTTATCTAATTTGAAAAGAACTGATATCTGTGAGAGGAAGGGGAATCAAAGAATGTGCTGAAAAATTATGGTTAAGACTTACAAAAAAGAACATCTGAAATGGCAGATCCAATGGAAGTGACTTAAAGTCAGTCTGTCAAAATAAAGTTGATATTGAAATTCAGAGTACGGACGAACTGCTTACCTTCAGAAGAACAGGGGAGGAGGAGTAATGCATTTTAATGGTAAATGAAAATGCAGAATAAATTTTGTAAATGAAGTTATACTCCAGAGGTAAATATTAGCCTTTTTGATACAATATCTATCTCTGAAAAAGTGTAAGGTTTTTGCTAGGGAATGGAGTTATAATTCTAATCTCTAGCCTTCAGAATTTATTTGGTATGATGACACATGGGGAAGTTATTAGCTTAAGTGGAGGAGATGGGGATTAATAGAAGAATGGTAAGATAGACAAATGACAAAAGAGAATGTGACAACACAGTGCTGAAGAGGGGGTGGTTAGATGGGTAGGTATTTTACTGGTAGACTTGACTACTGACACAGGGGATTGATCTAATGACACAAAACAAAATCACACATTAGAAGTAGTAATGAAGTGGGCACAAGACCTGGGAGAGCAGTCTTTAAAATTAGTAGAGGAGGAAAAGATTCAGTTACATAAACAGTAAGACTTCTTCCAGATACCCAAAAACAAACTGTGCCTTTGAAATACTAGTGATACATAAAAATACTGCCTGTAATTAAAAATATAACATATAATTATACTAATGAATCATAGAGTAACCATGGGCATGTTGAATTTTGCAATCACAGAATGGTTCAGGTTGGAAGGGACCACAGTGGGTTGTCTGGTCCAATGTCCATGTTCAAACAGGGCCATCCGAGAGCACATTGCACAGGACTGAATCCAGATGGTTCTTGAATATCTCCAGTGAGGAAACTCCACAACCTCTCTGGACAACCTGTTCCAGTGCTCAGTACCTGCACAATAACAAAGTTCTTCCTTATGTTCAAGTGAAAGCTCCTGTGCATCAGTTTCTGCCCCTCGTCTTACTGTGTGGTACTGCAATGGCCTATAGTACAGAGAATTTGATCTTTCAGAGATCTTGTACAGACCTGAGCTGAATTAATCTGATCCAGTCCATTTGTAATTGCCCTCCTCCTCTCTCACATCTGCCATTTTCAAAGGAAAAGTCAGCTGAGATTCCTCAGTTCCAGTTGTGTCAGTTTGTCTGTGAATGTCAACTGCCAGTGCAATATGTTTGTAAAAAAGGCAAACGCAATCAGATGAGGCATTCCCTAGGAGAGGGGAAAGTTCTAAATGCCTTTACACAATGGTTGTTGCTTTGTTGTGGGTGTATGCTGCCTTTCAGATGCAGTTGTGGTCACCTATGGCTATGAAAGGGAGTGAGAAGACAAGAACCAGCTCTTTTATATGATGTGCACTGAAGCTGGAACAGGTGTAGAGGGAGAGCAGGGAGCTTTTCTTATGAGACTAAAGGAGCCCCTTGTCTCTAGTCTTGCAAATTTAGGTCCTTAAGGAGAACATTCTGATATGTATGAGTATATCAAGGGATAAATATGAGGGAGGAAAAAAGAACCTAGCTAAACTGAAGGGCAATAATCTACAAGAATTAACAGATACAAGCTGGTTATGAATATGTTTATGCTGGTAATTGGAGGGCAGCTCGTTAGAGACATGAGGTTCTAGAATAATAGGAATAGTGGGAGAACTGCCAGTGTGGTTCTAGGGAAGGGTAGTGTTCGTTTATGAAAAGGATTATAAAATGCAGTTGTCTGTAGCAATAAAAAATAAAATGTAATGGTTCACGACACCTGTCCCATACTAGACCCCCTATTTGGAACAAGAGTGTTTTAGTTAAACCAGAAGTTATGGTCAGTGCAGAAAAATTACTTTTGCTTTGGCATAAGTTGTTTGGTACATCAGTTTCTTTTCACTTTGTGTCATTAGATTCTGTCCCATTCATTTGTATGTCCTCTTTGGATTTAAATTTTATGATTAAAGACTAAAAGCTCCTTACACTTGTATGAAAGAGAACAGAATTTCATTTGAGAGCTGAATTATTATTTATGTCCAAACCAGAATTAGCTGTAAATAAATTTAACACTGTTGTAGGATCCTGCTGTGACTTAGTGCACTCTTTTGTCTTGGGAAGGACTGACAGCACTACCTTACAGGGAAACACTACAGTGCTGAAAAGTGTACCAAAGATAACCTGGTTAAATGCTTGGAAAGGAGTTCAGGGTAGAGATTAGAGCAATGTGCTGGATGGGCTGTGGAAAAGGATGGCCTCTATTTCTGTAAAGCAGTAAGTGTGCTGCTTGTAGGAAAGTGGTCTTCTTTCCTATTGTGGAGTGATTTCAGTGCTGCAGTACTACACATGAGCGTTTGTCTCGTTTTACTTAAACCTACCTTCTGGAATAGTATTTCACAAGTCATTGGAAAAGCAGGCAACTTGCTGTCTGGGAAACTTTCTATTATTGAACAAAGCAAGCTGAACATAAAATAACACACAGGTAATGATTATAGCCAAAGGGTATAAAATGCATCTTTCTTAACTCAGAACATCAGACCTATAGCTGGATAGAGTGGATTATTGTGTTATGTATACTCACACTATTATGTACACTCATGGTAATTTGAATCTTAAGTCTTACATGCAAAACGTGAACCAGGTATCCTGACAAGTGGGTACAACTGCAGGGACATCTTAAACTTTTCCTCTCTGCAGAGAAAGGCAGACGTAAGGGCAATGATGCTGAGTGATTTTGTTGCTTTCTCACAAATCCTGGATTGTTCCTTGGTCTGTCACTGTTTGGGACTTGTGAGGATCTGTGAGCTGGTGAGAAGTTCCTGTAACAAGTAAGGATTTAATTGTTCTGATGAATCTGAGCTAATGGCTGTTCTAGCTTTGTAAACATTTGTTATTGTTTAATAATACAGCTGGCTGCTGGACTACACACACTGAGTTGACCTTTTTGTTCACAAATACCTGAATTTGGTTAAGAACATCTATTACTTAGATTTTTTTTTTACTATGAGCACAAAGTGTCTGAAATGTCTAAACTGTTACTGAGTAGGAAAATAAAAGATCTTAAAAAAATACAGCTTTCTCCAATTTCGGAGGCCATATGTATCTCTTGATGTCTACAAGTACTTCAGTAGAGCAGCATGTTTTGTCTTTAGCCCTTATTCCTGTATGGATTCTTTGTTTAAACAGAGCAGTTGTTCAGATACTGAGGCACTTCCAGTCTTATTGTCAGATGACTGTGTCAAGTAGTTAGGGATTGGGAACAGTTGCTTAATACACCACATTGTCTTAGCACAGACTGTATGAGATAAAGCACCCAAGCTGAAAATGTGTGTCTGATACCTGAAGCAGGAGGTTTTAATGACTTGAGAGTTTACAGCCATACTGGCACAAAGGAGTAAAAAATACAATCTCTGGGTAGAGGCTGAGCAAGACTGTAAGGGTGGCAGTAAGGTTGTTTCTGGAATATATAGTATAATGCATTAGTAAATTATTTACTCATTCTAAAGGTAAACGTTTATCCATTAAGAGTGACCTCTGGCAGAGAGCAAAATCTGACTCAGGGTGGTACCACTTCATCTTCTGCTTGGAGAAGAAATGGCCTTCATTACCAGTTCTGTAAGAGGGACCAAGGAAAACTAGGCACAGAGGTGATAAGTTTGTCCTTCTAAAATATTTATTTTTTCCCCTTCAATTCTGTAGGATTTTTAGAGCACTTCGGACGACATCCTAAATGGATGATTAACTTCACAATGGCAGAGCTCACAGTGGAGAATGGCAGCTGTATGGACTGGCAAAAGCGATGCCTTGTGTTGGAGTCCCAGCTCTTCAAATTCCGCTTGCAGGCAAGCAAGATCCGAGAGCTGTTAGCTGAGAAGGTGAGGCAGAGGTGATTTCTTCTATTTTGCAATGAATTATGATACAAAACCAAAAAATCTGTGAATGCTGAGCTACCCAATATATCTGTTACTTGCAGTGAGGATTTCTTCCTTGATTACAGTACATCTTTACTCTCTGCTTATCAGTTGAGATGCAGAGATGTGCCTGTCATAGTGGTGTAAAGTTACATAATAGAAATCAGCCTCATTTACTGTAAAATTGTCAAGTATTTGGACTCTAGTGGAATACACTGTACCAGCAAGATTCTGGATATCTAAAGTGACTGAGACAACTGCAGAGCAAAGATGGATGTTTTGGATAAGAACAGCAGGATCAGGACTTGACTGGCAAAAGAAAAGTTTGGAAGAGTGCAAATTATACTATAATGTTAAAAGCCCAGACAGGGATATGTGCATTGCCCTAGTGTTAGAATAACACTTCACATCCAGTCAAAACATTCTGGGGATACTGAAGAGCAAGGCCAGATATTTTGAGATCTGGATGTTAGAAACTTACATGGTATCTGTGGTTTTAGAGACATCTCCTACTAATCTCTTTCAAGTGCCCTTTGTTTGCATCCCAGAGAAAAGAACTGGTAGAGAGCTGAGGATTTTATTGGCTTTTTTTGTTTGTTTGTTTTTGTCATGTGTGATTTTTTTGTGGTATTCCTTAACCTTAAATTGTGTTGTTTTTCAATAAGAATTAAAGATTTTTGGCTAAATTTGTAAAAGTCCAAATTTGTAGGTTGCTGTGGGGCTCCTTTTTTTCAAAATGTGGCTTACATTATCACAGTTCAGTCAAAGATTGCTCAGATATTCAATTACTATAGGAAAGTACTAATTTACTAATGAAGTTGAAATCTGTACAGCTGACTGCAGTTTACCATACCTGATGACAGATCTGTTCTAAACTCACTTTTGCTCCATTTTGTATTATGTGACTTCTGTGTGTATATTCTTGTTTGTTGATTTTGGATGTAAAAACATCCAGATGACAGCTAGACTGCTAGACTCATCTGGAGCAATTTTCATCCCTGCTTTCACTGTAATTACATTTTCACTATTGTCATATACTGCATGAGACATTTTTTCCACCCTTCGTATTTTAAGGAATTGTGCAATTCTAAGCAGCTTTTTCATCTCTCCAAATTAGCTTCTGAGATGGACCTTAGTGATTACTTACCTTGAAAAACATTGAAAGTGGTTGTAAAGTCCATTTAGATAAAGGCACATTTAAAAAATCACGTATGGATGTGGAACAGGTCTGGTAAAGACAACCAGACTCACATGCAATACTTGTAAGTTTGCTGCATTATGACATGTGTGTCCTTGTGCTTTCTTAATTTCTGCTTTGAGATACTTCCTGACTACCCACACATGAAACAAGCCCACCTACCAGACTTCCTTATTGGAGAATGGACTTGCCAGATATATTTTGACTATCTCTTTAGGGAAGTTTGTGGGTCATGGCAGAGAATTAAATTTTCATCTGCTGACTACCATTTATCCAGCCTTCTAGTCAAAGCGATGTTCCCTTTGTTAAGATGGAGTAGCTTGGTTCAGTGATCAGGTTATTCTGTAACTACTTGTGCAGTGCTGTTGTAGCTTTACTTGAAGGGTCAAAGAGCTAGCAGGCTTGCAATTCCCAACTCCAAATGTCATGTGGGAAGGGGAGAGCCTCAGCAGGGACTGTGGGGCAGCTCCAGCTCTCCTGCTGCAGGTGGACTCAGACACACAGTGCTTATGCTGAGCACTGCTCTTGGGTAGTGTCCTGGTTCTCAGGTTCCCAGCTGGTCTGTAATGACTTACTCAGAGACCCTCCTTCCCTTCTCCTCGGTCACCACAGGACACCCCAACAGTCACAGCAACAGGGGCTCCTGTCTGCACTGCATCCTTCTCACCCTCGGGGGGGTAGTGATGCAGAACTGAAGGAGGTGCTTGATTGATGTCTAATGATGGCAGCTCCAGGGATTTTTGTGATAGATTTTATGGCAACTGTGGGTTTTAAGTTTTTTTTCCTCATTATGAGAATGAAGAGATTCAGACTTACTGGAGAGTCCTGCATTTCAAGAAAGGCTTTTTGGGGCAGTGAGGGGGGGATGATCTTGGAAAAATGTGAAGTCTGCACACTTTGAAGCTGTGTACCAACCAGTGGTAAACATTGTCTTGACATCCTCCCAATATGGTTTGCAGTAACAAGACATTTTTTTTTTAAGTGCTTTTAGATGAAAAGAACACTGGCATTGGTAGTACAATGTGCTCTAACAGTTTAAATACTTGAGATTTAAAAAATCCGCTTAGGTTGAATAATCTAGGTCGCTGTTCAGAACACGAGGAATTTAAAACCCAGTGGTTTAGCTGCCAATGCCCTAGTTCACATGGTGTGAACTTCCACGTTGATAGCCTGGTCTCAGGTATCTAGCAGAGCTGCCCGAGCTGCACAGAGCCTGGCTGGGGGTTGGCACAGCAGAAGAGCCTTGGCCCCTGCCCTTCCACACAAAGCTCTGCCATCCTGCTGGACCCCACTGGGCACAAGACCCTGGAGTCCTACCTTGTTGGCATTAGCAGGAATGGCTTTGAAAGCAGGCAGTTGTTTTGACCCTGATTTTCCTGTACACACACAAGGAAAAGGGATACTCCTCTGTTGGTGAGTGGCATAGCAGGCCATTGCCTCGGCAGCCAGTTGACCCGGTTAGGAGTGAGCTCTGGAACAGAGCAGCAGGAGAAAAATGAAGGTGAGAGGTGTAGGAACTTTTTTTCACTCAATTTTATGTAGCCTCTTCTGAGCCATCAGCAAAGGGAAAGCCTGTATGAATGGTAGATGAGAGGATCTTTTGCAGTTTTTAGAAGGGCCATCTGGGTAACTTAACCTGCTTCTGTCTTATTTCAATAAACAATGAACATTTGGAAAAAGGCTCTTTTGTTTCATACAAGCATGGCTATTCAACTAGTCCTGTTTCTCCCATACAAGCAGTCTGGGCTAGCATTTGAAAGAAGAGTTCCCTGCATTTGGCTTGGTTACTAAGTTTTTTATATGACCTGGGTCACATTGCTTATTAGCATTTGTCAAATTATAAAGCATTTTGAATGAAAGGACCCATGTAAATACCAAGCATTATTATTTATTCATTGAGGGATTTGAAAGAGCCTTACAAGCATGTATGTATTAAATCTGAATGTGCTCCAGTGAGAGTGCTGACACTGGGGATGAGTGAAATAATGATTTCATGTACATGAGGAACACAGCAGTTACTTAACAGTTCATAGCAGGACAACCAACAATGTAGTACAGGATATTAAGAAAAATACAAGTTCATTTAAGGCTACAGAGGGAATTAGGGTGACAAATGTAATTGATTTGGCTGGAACTTAGCCAGGTCACCCTGCTTGCACAAGTTTCATAACTTTTTAGTGATCAGGAATGGTCCCAACATAGATTCTCTGTCCTCATCAAGAACCATAACTTCTAGCAATGCAAAGCAACTGCTGGGCAGCAAAGAGTTCTCCAGTCAGAACAGTGCTGTCTTCTTAAAGTAGCCTGAGTCTTTCATGGAGATTGTTCAGGTTGTGGAGGATTGAATTATTAGTTTAAGAGGATAGCTTGGTAAAAAGGCCCAGAATTTCATCTGTGCTGTGAATGTAGACCCTATCAATTAATCAGAAAACTAGGAGAGACCATTGATTCTGAAGCTACTGTCTTAAACACTCTTTGTTTCACAAAGCATATTATGCCTCCCCAATAGTTATGTTCAGCATCTCTCTTTTGCCAATATGTTTTAGTGCTACCTGTTTGTGGTGATGACTGTCCAGAGATTAACAGAAAAATGCATGGGTATATCACTGTTCTGAAGAGACACATGGAACACAGATCACTGCTATTCATGTGAGATTGCCTTGAGCTCAGTCTTTGAGAAGGCTCTTTGGTCAGAGCAGCTTTGTGTGGCTGTAGTCCTCTGTGGCATCTCTCTGTTCCTCTGCCAAAGCAGCATCCTTGATTTGAATATTAAGTTACAGAGACTGTTGTATTTGATTGTTCCACTGAAAAAGCAAATGTGAAAGGTATCATGCTAAACATAGCAGGTTTTGATCTTCATGGTTTTAATTTATGTCATTGGTTTTTTAGTTACGTGACTACTGAGGTGTCTGTGTGTATGTGCCTTTCCATATGTTTGCTGGTAGGAGTCAGTCTGCTCCTGTACCAGTGAGCATGTATGGAAAGAAGAGTTGTCTTGTTGCCATTTGAAGGAAAGCAGATGGAAATGGGAATGCTGCTACGTCCATCCTGAGTGATCAATCCAAGAGGAATAAGTCCCATTTTCAGATACACTGTTTTGGTCCTGTTAGTGACCAACCTGAATACTTGGCTCCAGTGCTTTATCAGAAGTGCATTGGAGAGAAAAGGAGCTCAGTTCCCTTTGTAGTTTTTCTCTTTAAGCATGATTCTTTTAATCTTCTGAAGATTCTTCTATGTCATTCTTTCCATAGTAAAACATAACTGCTGCAAACTCTATGAAGCATTCCTCAAATTTTCTTGGTGAATAAAACTTAGTGTCACCAGTTTGAATTACTGGGCATAAATCTGAGACCCATTGAAGCTGGCCAGGTGAAGATGACCTTGGCAAACATTAAATGAGATACTAGGTTGCTATTTAAAGTAAAATCTAAAACAAAAACAAGCAATTAAAAAAAACACCAAAAAATCTCCCAAACCAACCACCACCCACCAAAAAAAGTGCTTTAGTGGTGAATGATTAGAAGAACCCCAGGTACATCTGAATTTTATGAGAATGAAGTGACTTAAACATTTAGGATAAAATTCAATTCAGTGTCTTTTAACTTTGATAGCAGCAGTGTTCAGATGTTGAATCACATAATTGTCAGTTTGCAAAGCTCTTTAAAATGAAAACAAGCATAGGAAAATTAAGATCATTGTTAATCTTGTCAGTTATGAGTCTATGATGCTTTTGAAGCCAAAGCAAAGTATTCAGTGGTTATAATGTGGCATCATAGAGAACCTGCTGTGAGCTTCCCAAGATACATTCATTTTTATTTACCATCGTGAATGAATCCTAGCTGAAATAAGATCAGGGAAGAATGGTGCACTGTAGTCAGGCTCCTTGCAACGACAGCCCATGGTGTGTAAATTGTAGAGATGAGGTCAAGACTTTGGCACTGTTCCTTTGACCCATGTAATGAATGATGAAGCTCACTAATGAGAAAATGGTTCCGGTGTATTCAAAGTAGGGCAGAAGACTTGAAGAGGTCAAAAGCTTTTTTTTTTCCTGGTAAAAGCTGTCCAGTTAACTCAAAATGTGCCAAAGATCTGTAGGTTTGCACAAGTCCTGAGTAAAATGTGAATTTCCGGGTGAAATTTTTCTTTCTTTTCTGTCTCTGAAGATGCAGGAATTGGAACAGAGAGTGATAGAAGCAGAGCAAAGAGCTGAGGATGCAGAGAAACAGGTAAGAGGTTCTTTAATGGTGGCTCTGGTACAAGTCCAGCAGTTAACTCACTCTAAATTCCTTCCAGTCTATCATACAGACAGCAATCTGCAGTGCTATGCCGTGCTAGGGAAACATTGATTTACAGTGGTGAATGGATTTTCTGGTCTACTTCCCAGTCTGTGAGCCTTAGCTGTAAACAGGTGCCTGAATATGTTGAATCCTAAGTGAAAACAAGCACCTTACATCTTCCTGTCAGCCACATTGCCATTATGCTCTCATCCATGAGGCATGCTTGGTCGTGGAAAAGGAAGGAGATGTTGTACTTCAGGATTAAATTGCAAAGATAAGGCTGCTTGGCAGGTCCTCAGGAAACAAATACTTAAGAGTACTGGTGAGGACTTGTCTGCAAGTAGAGAAGGTTCTGTGAAAGAAGTAGGTTTTGTAGACACACCCTTATCACTTGTTTTGGACTTTTTAATAATTACTGCTCTGGCTCAGGAACCCATGGAGAAAAACAGTAAGAGCTGGATTCATTGTCTATTACTGTAACCATCTAAAAATTAGGCATAATGTCTAAACTACGTCTTCTATGCTTCTTGAATAATGGAGAAACGGATAGAGGCAAACTTCAGTTTGTGAACAGGCTATAGAGAATAATAGACCTTTGGGAAGCAAACATTTTGCCCTCCGAGGAGAATGATGGAAACAAAAGAGCCAAGATGGACCAGGTGGCCTGAGCTCTTGGATCACTGCAGATCACTGAAGTGAAGTGAATCAACTCCCTCCAGCTGGACAAGAGCTGCAGGACTCGGCACGAAGTCAGAGGTTGAAGGGCAGAAAGAAAAGCCACGCAGCTAAGAATGACTGCCCAAGATGATTTCAGAAGTGAAGGACTGAATAGGCAGTGTTATAAGCACTGAGAGACTTATCACCTGGGAATCAAGAACGTGGAGTACCTGGAAAGGTACTCTGTCTGCAGAACATATTTTTCCACACCAGTTTGATATTGACATCAAGATTTTTTACTGACCAGCTTAATTCTAGGAAAGATGCTATGTCTTGACCCCGTGCTGTTGGCTTCTATGCTAGACCAGCAACTACCAGTGAAGAACAAGAGTTGTTCTTGAGAATGGTATCAGTAAATCCAAACCCATCCACAAGATAGGCAAAGGTAACACAATACAGGCAAAAGTAACAGCTGTGACAGCACCAGCAGGAAATAGTTATTGCCACTGGCCAGTGAAAGTTTCGTACTAGCAGACACCTCAATGACAGGAGCAGAGTACTCAGGATATGATAAATGCAATGACAGGAAGGGACAGGATGGACAGCAAGTCAAATCCAGGTCCAAGAATGGGCAAGAAAGGGAGAACTTGGCTGGGAAGGTGTAGCAGAAATGAGGGTTGCCTTCACTCACCTGCCACCAGCAGAAATGAGGGTTGCCTTCACTCACCTGCCACCAGCAGTTCTGTAGCCATATGTTGGCAACTCCTAAAGACTCACAACCCTCAATGTTTGCCTTTCCAGCAGCCTTATCCACATCTAGAGGTAAGTGTTCCTAGAGAAATGCTACATTGCTCCTGACAGTCTGAAGAAATGACAGCGTAGGAGTAGGACCATTCCCTTCCACTAATGAGTACATTCACCATGAATGAGAGGCAGCCAGCAAATGAGAGGGCTCCACATCAAGTGCAAAATCCCTTGTTATCTTTCTCTCCAGGAGTCTGAGGGATTGGCTTTGTTAATTCAATGGACTCCCTGTAGCTGCCAACCTCAATTAAGGAAATCACATGTTTGCAGTCCCCTCGCTGAGCCTCTAGTACAGAGTCAGCATTTGGGCATCAGACAGGAAGGAGGGGCCATTTCTTTTTACTATAATCACCCTAAACTCTAATGAAAGCTCATCCGACTCAGCAGGCTTAGTTTTCTGGCTCGGATGTTGGGTGCTTACCTTTCTGATTCAGTATGAGGAAGAGGCAGTTTGCTTCTCTGCCTAATACAGGCAGACAGGAGGACAAAACACAGCTTCTGCAAGTATGAAGTGTAGGCTGCTCAACAGAGCGTGACTAACCCTCTTGCACTCTCTGTGAAGTGCTCAGATTGCTGCCTGCATTCTGTCTTTCTAGTTCTAAATTCATGCCAAATTTATGGTGTTTGGAGTTGGTTTCTTTGCAGATTGAGCTTCTTTGAGATGTGTTGGAGCCAGAGATTTTCCCATCATCAAATGCTGCAATCAGTACATTTGAGTTAAATTGAAGGGATTCCGTTTATCTTTAGAAATGAAGTCTTATAATCCATTGTAATAGAATGAGGTAATGGTGAAATGGAGTGGCATTATTGAGAGACAAAGGTTTTGAAGAAAGCAAAGAGATTTAAAAAATTTGCTGAAACTTGAAATGCTTCAGTAGCCACTGGATTTTAGTGGGTTGAAACTTTGTCTGTAGTGAAGGAGCACTACATTGATCTTTCTCTTGCTGAGGTGAAGAAGTCTTGGCACTGGCAGGAGCTCAAAGACAAGCAAATCTTTTGTAATATCTAACATTGTAACTCCTTAGCAAGTCTGGAGTAAACACTTGGCAGAAAGACAGGAGTTGCCAAAACACTGTGTTAAGCTGGGGATAGGAGGATGAAGGACCTTCATAGTACATTTTCCTATAGAAATCTTAATCTGAAGCAAATGGCCAGGGGTTTGTGGTATATACCTTGGTAGTGAATGAGGTAAAAAACTGGCCATGATATTGTAAAAGAGAAAGGTGGGATATACCGTGTCCATATGTCTATGTAGACTATGGTGCCTCTGTGGCCTCTTTGATTGATAATTTGATTGTAATATCTCACAGTCCATGATGTGTTTATCTGTTCATGGTTCAGTTTGCATCTGCAACTGCTTCAGTATTACAAATGAATGGACAATGTTCCTTTCACAAATGAGGATATAAAATGTGACCTGAAGGATATTGTGGGTTTTGATGTTTTATTTTTCCTTTTCTGACTTGAAAAATAAGAAACTCACAAATATTCTCATTTATTTTTATTCTCTTACCAATGTATAAGCAGGTCCTTGATTTGCATTGATTTGTTTTGGTGGTTTTTGGGTTTATTCAATTTCTTTCTGATTACCATTACAGGTCAGAGTTATGGAAGAGAAGATAAAACTAGCCAACATGAAAACTGGTGAATCTGGCAGCACCCTGCACAGGAAATACCAGGAGTTGATGTGCACAGTGCAAGGAAAGGAGGATCTGATCAACAAATTGGAGACACAGCTAGCAAAACAGGTAGGGATATTTTCTATGGGGAGGCCTGTAGGTTTCATGAGTTAGAGGGATTCTGTAATGTATATTTCAAAGATGTGGATTATGTCTCATTACCAGTTAGTTTCTCAGTTGCCTCCAGATCAGCTGTAAGATGATGCCCAGCCCAATACGAGATCCTCTCTTTCCTTTTTCAGACAAAACATGCATTCAGCTTCAACAGCCCATGTCTCTTCATTGTTGGAGATCAGTCAATGTGCCTAAAGGACTTCCTTATGTCAGTGCTGAGACCCTACATTGTAATGTTACAGTCTGGTCACAGTGTTTCTCTGGCTTTTTGGCATGTTGACTGCTTTGCAAAACCGTAGTGTAGCCTCGTCTGACTCTGTTCGTGCTGCTTCTTGGGAAGGGTCTTTTCCCAGTCTTCAGCAGTCCTTTAGCATAGTTCAGCTCTTGTCAGATGTCATTATGAAAGAGCAGCTGTTTCTCAGTATGGATAGTTCTTAGTCTCTTTCAGCTGGTGGAAGGGAGGTGCTATATCTACAGCAGATTTCAGTTCTAGTAAAGGTCTTGTCCTGTGGTTTTTATAACATGAGGAATGAGGTATTCTTAGGTGCTGCTGAATAGAAGTAGAATTTTACAAAAAAAAATTATTTATCAGCCATTTGAGTTACATTGAACTAATTACCACCTATTTCAAGGACTGTTAGTAGAAATCTTGTTCCAGCAACAAGAGACAAAATTAGTTTCTAGAAATGAAAGCCAAAGCTTGGCAATTCCAGACAAGAAATACTTGTTGTCAGAGTCACTGGTTTGGTTTCAGAATGGGATGAGATGGTGGCAGGCTAGAAGGTTACTAAGGGTCCCTGTAAGGCATCCTATTTGTTTTCACTGGGATGACAAGAGCCAGGGAGTTCAGAGCATCATTAAGAGAACACTGAGGTCATGTCTAGACCACACAATAGTGTGGGACACAAAGAATCTCTAATTGCTTTTGGATCTTAAAGCACAATAACTGCATCTATGGCAGCTGTGCATGAGTGAATTGGTTCTGCTTAGAGGCAGGGCTTACTAAGTGTGGTGACAGTGCTGTCATCATGTCACTATTCTGCTTTAGAACCCTAAATAAAATACTGGCATTGCACTTCACCATATAGTGTAATAAACTGAATCTTTTACTTCTTGGACTGTGTTCCAAGACAAGTCCAGGTCATTAGGGATTCAAAGCCAGTTCCCATGTGATGGATATTCAGAGATGGTAGATCTACTATATGTGTCAGATCTTTTCAGACCTGTAAGCACATCTAGTGTTTTATCTCCTGCAGAGATTGAGACCTGATGATTAGGAATGCACACAGTCATATAAAAGGAAAAAAATCTAAATAAATCTTCTTCTTGAAGCATCTGATTTGATTGCTTTTATTTCATTATGCTCAACTGCAGATGTTATGGTTGCCTATAATGTTGCTAGGCCCTATTTTAAAGTCAGCAAGCATACTTAAATAAGGGCCTCTAAATGTGCAGTTGTAGTGATAAATAGCATGTGGTGATTAAAAGTGATGTGAAAATATGGGGAATTTTGTGTGGTCTGTTTATTCTATTTATCAGTATGAAAAATTTAAAGTGGGGGGAAGGACTGACATTTTTTATAATTACAATTACTGGTATTTGTTTACTTCAGAAAAAACAATAAACAGGGAAACCACCAGCTGCCACCAGAAGACATTATCTTTGCTCCTTAATTGGAGAAACCAGGGCTGATGTGCCATGCAGCATATTTTCCTCCTCTCTCCCTCCCTGTGTTGCTCCCAGAACTGATTTCTTCTTGCAGTTGTTTAAATCATTATGTTGATAGGAGAGTTTTCAGTTGCTTCTGATGAAGCCACCCAGAAGATGAAGCAGAAAGCATCAGATGATCATAGTGTTAATTCAGCATCTTTCAAAGGAAATTTCCAGAGAAGTTAAAAACACAGCTGAGAAAACACAGCTGCAAAAACAATGTAGCAATATTACCCAAGCAGATACTTGGGGGAACAATGGTCATTGTGCAAATCAGCAGTATTGCCATGACACCTTTGTGTGGACTAGAACCTGTTCTAATGCATATGTAAACATACAACCACTTACAGCATCTGAAATCCTCCTAGCAGATCTTAGTGTTTTTTCAAGGTCAAATTGTGGAGCTTTTTTTTTTTTTTTTTAATAATTTGCTTTCTCAGTGATAATATTGTGTGCATGTGTTAAATATGTTGTTATTATTTGCATCTTGTGTACCTTGAAAGATTCTGCTCTAGACTTTTGCTTACAGCAAAAATTGCTTTTGCTTGGATTGATTCATGTTTTTATGAATCAGTTATAGACACTGCTTAATTCTTATAACCTTTGGCCAATAATGTGTGTGTAGGCTGGGGGAACACTGCAGATGCTCAGCAGTAAACAGCAACATTACAAAACCATCTGAAACAGAAAACGCTGCAGACTCTACTCACTGTGGTAGGTGGCCAATTGTTACCTGGCCTGGATTTTGCTATTCCACAACAAACTTTTGAAACAAACCTCTGAATTTAGTTTTAGGGACCATGTAAGACAACTTTCTTGATGTTTTTCGGAGGCCAGCTGAACAATTGTATCCGAGTAGCAGTCTTAAATCTTACGTCTGGAATGGGGGTTTCTGTGTTTCAGTCACTCCTGGTGCAGTAACTCATTGAGAACAGTTAGTTGTGCTCTCCTAATGATCATCTAATGTTGGTTTTGGTTTTTTTGGCACAGAAACAGCTGAGGACTGAGGAAGCCAAAATTGTTCAAGAGAAAGCTGCCAAGATTAAAGAGTGGGTAACGTTTAAGCTCAGGGAGGTAAGTCTCTGGCTTTCTGACAGATTTCAGGGCATGTGAGTAAGTACAGTGGCTGCTCTGCCAGGGGGTTTCTATGTAGGACAACAGTCTGGGGACAGTCAGTGTGCCACACAGACACTCTGCTTGTTTGGCCCTGCACATACTCAGTTGTAGGGCTGGGGTCATCACTCTTACCAAGGGCTGTTTGCTTTGTTGGACAAACTATAAATGACTCTGAAGTTACCAATGCCCAAAAGCAGTTTCTGAAGATTGACTAGCCACAAGTGGCTTTCACCTAGCTTTCCTTTTACCTCTCCTTTTCTCTGGATGCAGTTTCTATTCCTTTCTGAATAACACAGAGCACCTGTTACATAAACATGTCCTTTGCTCTTCTATAATTTGCCATCTCTAACTAATGCTGTTTTCCTACTACCCAGTATTTTTTATCTCTGGCCTCTCTGTTCTATCCATCCTGTGGATTTATGCCTCTATCTGGGCCTACCCTCTAGAAAACAAAGACAGCAGTGGGTCAGTATGCAGTTTTAAAGATGGAGTAGTAGTTTTCTTCTGGGAATAGGCTGTCTGATCTTTTATTCCAGGTTAAAAACATGTTTTTCCAAGTTTATGACAGAAAGGGAATTTGTTGGAATTGGGAGAAACAGTCTGTGTGGGCACTGGTTATGTTATGGTGTGACTTTGTAATGTCATTAGATTGCCTAGATGCTGTGCTGCTTCTCTTCCCTGTAAGAAGGGAAGATTTGGTGTGACCTGCTGTGAATCCAGGACCATACACTCACACAGTGTCTTTACTGGCAATGAGCTTTGTGCCAGATGATGATTCCAGATGCCACAGCATGCACAAGTGGATCACTGCCAGTTGGAGAACTTGGCATCTGTGTTGCCAATGGGTTACTCGAGACAGCACCTCAGGTGATTCCTTCAAGAGGGAAGTCTGAGTGTCCCACTGCTGTGTTTAAAAATGGGTGCTGAGACTCTTCAACTAAAGGCATAAGGCAAATTTGCAAAGAAACTCTCATGCCCTAATTGGAAATGTAAATGCAGCCTTAATGTTGGTTTGCTTTTTACTTTCGTCCTCTGGATCTTTTACTACATATAGGGTGAGACTGAAAAAATGCTCCTTCTGGGAATGTTTTTTGATTCTCTCTTTCATTAGCATTATTTCTGCAAAGGTGTAAATGATAAGCCATAGCAGGGAAGTAAATTTAAAAATGTATTTGAGAAGTGCCAATAGCTGATACAGAGGCTGTTTGAGAAGGCACAGTAAAATATTTAAAGTGGGTTGTCTAGTGATGCTGCTGATTAGGATTTCAAGGTGACTGGTAGACTCACCCATCGTTTTTTTCCTTGTTAAGAAACTTGAAAATAATAAAGATTTAAACATGTTCTGTGTAGTGGATCACAAGTGCTCACAATGTTGCATTATTTTTCAGTTTTTGTTATTCTTGTTTCATAGCTTGAGCTAGAAAATTACCACCTGAAAAACTGTAATCAAAGACTGATGGAGCAAATTGAAGCTCTTCAGGATACATTGCAAGGTAAATGAAAGCTGGCACTGCAGTCTAGTAACCACCACATGCGCAATGGAAGTCAGCATTCCTGGGTTGTATTCTTCATTTTGTCAGAAATTAAAACTTGTGGCAGCAGGCAGTAGAGTTTCTCTGTTACTTAGCCAGGTCAATTTTTAAGATGAGAATAACATGCTTACCTACCTTAACTCTTAATTGTTTTCCCACCAACGATTAAGTATAGACTCAGGTTTTTTTAAGAATCTGCATTTGCCATTAAAATAAGCCACTGAGTTCCTGAGGTAGAAGCATTCGTTGAAATACGTTGTAGAACTCTCCATTCACTTCAGTGCTGCAGGGGAGAAATCCCTGATGTATTTCAGTGTACCTCCACATGTGAATTATTCTCATCCCCACAGAACCTCTGCTGGCATGTGAGTAACTGAATCAGCCAAGGCAGCAGCTCTTTGGTCTGCCCTTAGGAGCAGGGTGCCTCTGTGCTATCAGGTTGGGTTGGAGAAAGCTGCTTATGGTGTTCTGGGTTTTTGCACTTCTTTGGTGGCTGGATGGAAAACTTTGGTCTCCAGGCTTGAATACAACACCTTTTGTCGTAATATACTTTGAAAAATAAATTACCTTAATTTTTTTTAATGAGCTTGGATTGGTCAGAGTAAGATGAACTAGTTTCCAAAATTTCCCTAGGCATGCGGACAGAGGACATTTCTTTCCTGTAGAAGTCTTTCTGGCATTCCTATTACTCCACAGCAAGGGAATAGGGCAAAATTCCTTCTAAATCCCACCACATTTCTAGTGAAATGCTTTATGACTGGGTTTTTCTCATCCCCTCTGGCTCTGACTATTCACAAAAAGAGAATGCCTGGTAAGCTGCGTTAATAATCTGGTATTAAGTGTTCCCTGGATCCCAGCTCTCTGGGCAGTAAACAGCACTGCCCTCTCTTCTTATCCCTCGCTAGTCTCACTATGCCAGGCTGAAATCAGAGGCCTCTCTAGAGAGACAAATCTCGTCTTGCTTGCTGTGCTAACAGTAACAGCTTCTTCTTCATCTCCTGTCACATCTAGGAAGCTGCAAAAATATCAGTAATATTTAAAATGAATGGCTTCTTTTCAATCTACACTAATGATTTACCTTAGGGTCAGGGGAAAATATGTGCTAGGATTTGTGTGTGCCATTGTTATGTGTTAGCTTTGCTAACATTCAGTTCTTTGTAAATCAAGTGCCAAGGTCACGCTCTCATGATTGTCTTTTTCTCAGCTGTTTCCAAGAGCAGGTTTCATCCTCTCCATTGTCAACAGTAATTTATTCTGCTGTTTGCTCTTCCCTCTGTAACTTGGTGTCTTCAGTTTGTTTCTATTTCCTTGTAAATCCCACAGGTGGTTAAGCAATATCCACAGAGTTTGATGTTCAGGCAGTATTTTCAGCAATAGCTGTGCAGAGTCGTGGTCACCCATGTTTTGCAATTTCCAAACTATCTAATGATTTGGTTCTTTTTCAGTCAGGCTGAAATAAATATAAATGCCAAGGTCAATCAAACATCTTCTGCCATTCCAAGTTTTACCTCCACTTTCTCACATTCTAAAGCTGCTCTTTGGTGGAAATGGTACAAACTGAGATAATCTTTAATAATTATGGAAAGGAAGAAAGTATAATAAGTATAAAGTGTAGGTACTAAGTAGACAAAGGACAATGGAGGCAATCTAGGATCTGTCTTTTATGTCATACTCTAACATAGCAACTGACATGGCAGGGAAAGAGCTAAAAAAAGGAATATTTTACCACAAAACTATGTAAGTAACTATTATAAAACTTCGTGACAAAGCACTGTGTGGGTCATATAGCATAAAAGGATGGCAAAAAGCTCTAGGGAAATTCTTAAAAAGTGAGTAAACTCCCCCATTGCTGCGATGTTTAAGAAGGTCTCCATACCTTTGCTGGAAGCCCCATTTAGTCCCTGGGAATGGATGGAACATACCAGATTATTTGATGAGTTAAATCACTGTAGGTCCACTGAAGCCAAAAGCCATACAAAGCAGTGTTCTGGCCACTTTGATACATTTGACAAAGTGTTGTGGGATAGGTGCGCTTCCTTCTCATGTTTTAAGAGAGGTGGCATAATTATATAGGTAAGAATAAAAACTCCTATATTGCATTAGACTGAAAGCTTGCCTAGGCCAGTATCCCATCTCCTGGCTGGCTGTTCACATTCCAGGAAGGACCATACAAAGCAATGCAAGTAAAGCTGTCCTCTCCACATACACTACCAGCTTCTGCTCTCAGTAGTTTAGGAAGTTCCTAGGCCAGAACTCCTGTACTACTAATACATTAGTTTTTCTGGCCTGTCTGCAGCATTCTGATTCCTTTTTTTGTCTGGGAAAAACCTTCCTTCTGTAAATTTCAAATGTACTGCCTAATTTCATTAGGAACCCCTTAATTTCACTTTTGTCCAAAACAGTGATTAATCATTTCCTATTCATCTCTTCTGTGCTATTCCCAATTATAAATGTATAGTACTTTAGTTATAACTGTGCCCAGCCATCTCTTTTCCATTCTGTATAGTCCTAAGCAGGCTAGAGTGCTACTGAAATACAACTGAATGTACACTAGGAAGCAACGTTGAAGATGTCAAAGTGTTTGAATGCCTTAACCATATGTTCTCCTTCTTTGTAGACATGACCAGCATTCCTCCCTTTGAATCTCTTTGGAGCTGTGATTCCCTGAAGCCCCGAGCATCACAGGCCTCTTTTGCTGAGAAGACAGACCCGAAATCTGTGCTCCTTTCACCTGGTTTCAGAGAGATGTGTCACACAGGACGTTCCAAACACGTCCTCTCTTCAGCAAACATAGTCCTTGCCAGTGACACCTTTACTGAAAATGGAGAGGATAAATCTCTGCTTTCCCAGAGCATGCTGAAGCTCATGTCTGACCCATCAAGCTGGAATCTCTCCACAGAGAAAAATGTATTTCCAACCATAAGTTCTGAACACAGTTTAGGGTGCTCTGGTCCCTTATCACTGGACCCTCCACCTGAGACCACAAAAATTCTTGAGGCTTTGACCTTCCAATCATCTTTGGAAGGAAACTGTAGTGCTGTGAGTGCCTTGCAGCAAGTGGGTTTGGATGGTACCTGCTTCTCTGATGATCTGAGTGCCAGATTCAATTCCCACCGGCTGGAATCTTCTTCCTCAGGAGAAATAATGAGCCTGCTGGAGAGCCGTCTCCAAACTGCTGAGCCACCTCTGGTTGTGTCAACATCAGCTCTTACAGCACATTCCTTCTTTCCAGGGAGGGAATGCAGCCTTGGGAGTAGCATGACCTTTCCAAAAATACGAACATCCAATACACCAAGAGACAGTATCCAACTAGCCAAGAGACATCACAGCCAGCCACAGTCAGGGGCTAATTCTTTCCATCATGTAATGCACTTAGAGACTAGCACTTTCCAGCCCATAACAGACCCTCCAGTCGGCTGTGGGCACGTGGAGGAGACAGACATTGATGATGATGGAGTAATGATGATGGAGACAGAATGTGGCCTGCTGAGGGGAGAAGCTGGAACGTGTGAGGGAATGTACCACTTACCTGCAGAGCAAAGAAAAGCTGTGAGTTCTGAGGCTGGCACACTTGACCCGGGATGTAAACCTCCCACACCACCGCTGCACCGATTCCCATCATGGGTAAGAAATGCAAGGACAGCAGTAGAGAGGGGCTGCTTATCTTTGTGCCCAGTGGTTAGGCTGCAACACTTCTTGGTCTCAAGGAATTGTTACCTGTGGGTATCACAGGTTACACTCCTGAGCCACCAAGCCAGACAGTTCCAGATCATGGGGCATGCTGGTTCTGTTGACGATATTTTTTTTCTCTTTATAAGGGGAAAAAGATCCATTGGGAAAAACAGTACTTAAGAATCATAGGAATAAAAATGAAAGTCAAAATGTACTGCATTGTGGTTTATCATTATATAGGTCATCAAAAGTTAATCCTTAGTTCTGTTGTCATGTGTTTAAAATAGAAGAAATTAATCATAAATGCAGTGGACCAGACCAAATAGCTCCAGAGTGAGAAAAAGCTGCGGATACTAGAACAGATACATGGATTAGATCTCAGCATTCCTATCTCATGGTATACCTCTGCAGTTAGGAAAATTTTGTGAAAACCTTTGCTGAAGTGAATATACATGTCTTGTTGTTTTTTCTTACAGTTATTTGTGAGGTCAAATAGATGAATTGTTTTTTAGCCCTAGAATTGTTTAGGATAGAAAAAGCAGCAGGTCACTTTGTCATAGAAGGAAATGAGGCTGGTCAAGCAGGAGCTGCCTTTCACAAACCCGTGGGGCCTGGTCCCCTGGTTGTGCTGCATGTGTTGTGTGATGGCATCAGCATGGTCTGCTCCATGAGCTTCCCCAGCACCAAGGTCAGGGTGACAGGCCTGTAGCTCCCAGATCCCCCTCTGGCCCTTGCAGGTGGTGCCACGTTTGCCAATTCCTGTCACCTGGGACCTCCCTGGGTGCCCAGGGCTGCAGGTCGCTGATGGGCAGTGGCTCAGGGAGCTTTTCTGATGGCTCCCTCAGTACCCTCGGGTGGATCCCACCTGGTTCTGCAGACCTGTGTGTGTCTAAGTGTGGCAAAGCAGATCACTGGGCATTTCCCCTTGGGTTATGGGGGCTTCATTCTGCTCCTCACCCATGTCTTCCAGATCAAAGGGCTGGCTGCTTGGAGAAAAACTGGTTTTACAATCAGACTGAAGCAAAGAAGGCATTGAGTACCTCTGCCTTTTCCTCATCCTTTGTCACTGTTTCCCACTCACATCCAATAAAGGAAGGAGATTCTATTTTTGTTTTTCATGTATTGATAGAAGTCTTTTATTGTCTTTTACTGCAGTAGCCAGGTGAAGGTCTAGTTGGCTTTGCTCCTGCTAATTTTTTCCCTGCATAACTTCATGGTATGCTTGTAGCCGTTCTGAGTCGCCTGTCCCTTCATCCAAAGGTCACAGACTTTGAGTTCAGCCAGAGGCCTCTGATCAGACAGGCTGGTCTTCCTCATTGTCTCATCTTTCAACACATGGGGATGACCTGCTCCTGCACCTTAAAGATTTCCTTCTTGAAGAATGGGACTCTGTCAGCCAGCTTCCTAAACAGGCCAAACTGACAAACCTGGTGGAAATCAATGTAGTATCAAAAGAGAGGATTTTGTTTTCATTTGCTTTTTAAAAGGCTTGGGCAAACAAATGATGTATTGAAACTGCATACTCAAGCACTCATTGTTAATTCTTATGTCTTATATATTGTTTGGTGTACTTGACTTTGCAATCCTAGCTACTTTTATGTATATGTATTACATTTGTTATTTCATAGTGAATTTTGGTTGTATGCTTTAAGGAGCGCCTAGAGGTTTCCTAGCTTTGGGGTTTATCCATTTCACACTGGTTGTTGTCTTAGTCATAACTCTGCATCTAGATACAGAGTTGGGTTTCCCCTCTGTAATTTTTATCAATTCATGAAGCATTTGGAGATCCTTTGAACTGAAAGCACTGTATGTTGTTGTAACTGAGACACAGGCTTACTGAGATCATTCCAGGCATTTCTTTCATTCCCTTATTACAGCATGGGCATCCTTTGCAGCTGATGACTCAATGAATTGTTCTGGTATAGGGCTGCTCTTAAGTAATTTTAACGCATGGTTTATAATTTGGAAAAAAAACCCCATCTGTTTCCAAGCTGTGATACAGTCATTTATTGATCATTGCATGTAGAGGTTTCAGTGTGTGGATGTCACCTCTGTAGCTGGGACTTTGCACACAGTAACACACCTCCATTAATGGTCATTCACGGAACGTGTGGTGGAATTCAGCTATCTTTCTTAGAGAGCCCCTTCTTCCTGCCCAAAGGTGTGACTGTGGTGTGATTCTGTGACATGGGCATTTCTGTCAGTAAGAATTATATTTTTGCCTGATCATGGTTGTTCATGGTGTTACTGTTCCAGGAGAGCCGAATCTATGCTGTGGCCAAGTCTGGCATGAGGCTGTCTGAAGTGGCCATGGTGAACGAGACTTCCAGCTGCTGTAAGTTCTGGACTAGATCCATCCTTAGAGGGAATTCACAGTGACAGTGTGGGATCTGAGCTTCTGGCTGTTCACATTTCTTCATTTCCTTGCCTGTTTTCAAAGTAAATTTGACTCATAGGTAGCCTCTATAAAGGAAGGGAGGAGGATATATCTGATTTTGGGGATGGTTGATGCTGGGCTATTTGTGCCTCTACATTCAGGGACATCTTCAGGGATTCCATTTTATCCTCCATCAGTTTTGCAGCTAGTCTTCTGCCTCTGCTTGTCTGTGGCCTGTTTTTAGTCTTCTGGGTCACCATCACCTTTGCCTGTTAGGACTTTTTTCTGTTTGTACAGATGATTGCCATTCTGCCATGGGGAGCACAGTGTGGGTAAAGTGTCTTACAGGCTAAATGGAGGGAACATTGTAGCTCTCTCTGAGAATTGTATGGAATTAATAACACATCTCCTGGCCTTTCTGAAGCCAGACTGTCCAGGATGGCAGTTCTCCATGCGCTTTTCCATTAAAACCTCCTTTTCACCAGGTTGTATTATTTGCTCTCTTGCTTTCTCTCTGAATTTCCCCAGTTTCCAATTTCTCGTGTTCAACTTCTGGGCCGTTTACCTATCTCATCTACAGAAATGTCACAGTGCCAGTCTACTCTACGCTGAAGGGGGTAAGGAGTTACCTCCCTTTTCCTGTTGTGGAAAGCATGGTTCAGGGCTGCTAGTAATTTGAGACAGAACAGGATGGAACTGTGCAGTGAAGGAAAGAAAACTGGAGAATGTCAGGAAGTACCACACATCAAAAGAATGCAGAAATAGTAGCAAATGTTAAATATATTTAAGAACACAGAACATTGCAACAAGTTTTGGTCCAGGAAGTTGCAGTGTGCACTATGAAACCTAGAGGTGATAGTGGGTGTAGCCTAAGGAATGAAATGGAACATAAAACTCGTGGAAGAGTAGGAGGATGTAACCAGTGGAGACCCAAACAGATCAGCTTAGAGAGTACAGCTTAGAAGTTCTCAGACTAGAAGGGGAGGAACTGAGGAACCTTGGGGCAGAAGTGGGCAAGGCAGTGTGACAATGAGGGGCATGGGTTGCTCTGCCTCCTGATTGAGGAGGGATTGTCCTGGGGAAACTCTTCTCTCACACATTAACCACACAGGTCTGTTTTCCAGAAAGCCACACAGATCAGCAATGTGCCCTTCTTAGATGAGTCTTCAGGCTCTGATGATGACTGTGGCTCCCATGCCAGCTTCAGGACATCTACTGCTGGATCTGAGAACAGGAAAGCTAGCATGCCAGGCAGCCCTCGTGCCGTGAAGAGAGGTAAAGTGGGAGTATTGCTACTGAGCAGGATGAGCTCTGTCATCAGTCAGGATGCCCAGAACAGCATCATCAGCAACAGGCAAATGCTCAGCCAGAGTGATGCTAACAAGGAGTTCTCTCAGAATATGTGCACACATCAACAGCAGAAACAGTAGAAACCTGTTCCTGTAGATGGTTCTTACTGCTGATAGATTTCCTTCAGGCAATTGCTAAACTAAGATTGAGGGAAGGATTGCCCTCCCAAATTCATCACATATCCAGTCATCCATATCTTTGCTGCAACTTCTCCTTGGAAGCAAACTAGTACTGACACAATACAGAAAATATTTTTTAGTCTTTGTCATTGACTGGTAATTTCATGACCAGTAAATACATCTCACCTATCTTTGAGAGACATCAGGTACTTGAGTCCTGATTAGGACTATTTTTCTTGCCTGCTGGGAAGGCTAAACTTGTTGTTGAATGGAATTTTTGTTATAGTTAGTTGTCTCTAAATTTCATATATTTCATGTAGTCTTAACTTCTTTTGTGCTGCGTTGGCAGATGTGCCTGTGCATTGCCATGTACCTGTGGTAAAAGATTCACAGAAAGCAAAGCCCCATTGCTAAGTGAAGAAGCCTTTTCCTTAGTTGAAATCAGAGGGGGTTGAGACTTTGATGGATGTTCCCAGATGAAGCTGTCTCTTCTTCAGATGACAAGTCTGTTGATATATTTATATATATTTTAATCTGGTTTTATTCAGCAATAAATTTATTTCACTGTCAGTATCCAAAACTCACTTTTCACTACTTGTCTTCCTAGGGAAATAAAAAGAGCACTCAGAAGTCACGTTAGTGGGGTTTGATTTTCTAAAGTCTGATCTGATTTGTCCTTGAACCAAAAAAACTCTTAATGGTGAATACTTTTTTTGAGTGTACAATATTCAGTGCATGCTTTTGTCTAGCCATAACTCTCATTTCTTCCTTTATTTTGAACAGGTGTATCTGTGTCCTCACTAAGCTCTGAGAGTGACTATGCCATCCCTCCTGATGCCTACTCCTTGGATGGTGACTATTCAGAGCCAGAGCATAAGCTGCAGCGAACATCTTCCTATTCCACTGATGGTGGAATCTGCACTGTAAGACTTGCACTGTAACTGCTGTGCTACACTTGCAAGGGGTGCAAACAGAGCCTTGGCCTTCAGAGAAAAGTGCAACTACAGTATATTGAGTAAAGCCCCTGCAAAGTGATGCTCTAACAGACTGGGCTATTGGTCCAGCTGATTGATATAAAAAGACATCATCTGGTGCTTCAGATGAAGGTGCAATTTGTGTTATGTGGTAGGTAAAAGTATAGGCATCAGGGGCTGTCATCTTTCCTGATGACCTATATTGGTTTCCTGTAGTTGTATTCTACTTTAATGAAGGCCTTACACTTTTGGGACAAAACAAATTTGGAAATTCAGAGGAAGGAAGAAGAAAGGAATGAAACCTCAAAACAGGCAGCATTGAAGTCTGTACTCTTCAATGTAAGGGATCAAACAGACAAGGAACAGGGGTCTAATCATGGCGTAGAGACAGCTTTCACTTTTATTTGGAAAATCAGTGCCTCAGTAGGAAGAGAAATAAGTTTACAGTGCATCAAACAATCAGTGAAATTATCTTTGCTGACTGCTACTAAACAAAGCAGAAAATTATGAGAGATGCAGCAAATGTCTGGGCTTGATTTCAGCACACTTGCGTTTGTATTTTGAGAGGTGCAAGATGACCTCCTCTCCCCATTGCTCTGTCCTTCAGGAACCCATGGAGAAATCAGGCTACTTGCTGAAAATGGGCAGCCAGGTAAAGACGTGGAAAAGACGATGGTTTGTTCTCAGAAACAGACAAATCACATACTACAAGTCCCCGGTAAGTCACTGGGATACATGTCCTCCACTCTAGAGGCACAGAAAAATTTAATACACTGAGAAAACACTTTTGATTAGACACGTCACTGTTTTGAAAAGCATTATGAACATTTGAAAGATTCACTGTATGCATCAAATGAAGAACGAAGTTATTATTGATAAACTTGTTACTTCTGAAGGTGGAAATTCAGCCACCACCTTTGTACCTATCATGTGTTGTACTGCCTTCCACTTGGAAAGGGTTTGGTTTGTTGGTGTTTGTTTGGCCTTGCTTTTGTTTTATTAATCATAATGTCCAATCTGAACTCCATAAGACAGCATTTATTTTCACTGCCCTTGCTATATTGTCTGCCACTTATGAGGAGACTTCTGCAGCAGGATCACACAGTCTCATATTTCACCTGGCAACCTTAGGCTGTCCTTTCCAGCTTACAAATGCAGACTCCAGCCTGCACGTGAATATTATCCTGTATTTAAGTAATCCAAGACCCATCTGAGGTTTCCTACTGAGAAAATGGTTTGCTTTTCTTTCCTCAGAGTGATGTTATCCGCAAACCCCAAGGGCAGCTGGAGCTGAATTCTTCATGCCAAATTGTCAGGGGTGAAGGGTCCCAAACATTCCAGGTAGGTGTTGCTTTTTTATCCTGCATATAACCATACACTTAGTAGCTGAGTGAGGGAGCACTTAATTCAGACTGAATGGTACTGTGTGTCTCAATTGATATGAGCAAACTTTATCTGGTCTCTGTTTCCTGGCACAAAACAGACAGTCTAATTAATAGTGAGGAAAGTGCTAATTTGTAACTCAATTACACCCTTTTGAAACCGAAAGAAATTTGTATTTATTTTTCTCCTGTTTTACACTAAACACTTTCCTTTTTCTGCAGGAATTAGAGGTTGAAATCTATGGGGGGAAATGATTCTTATGACAATTAAAACCAGCTAGTACCTGGGATCTTTCTGAGAGACTTCTCTTAAATATCTCAAGCCTGACTTCACATGCCTGGAGGATCTAAAGAAACATCTGAATAGTTTGACTCCTTTTAGAATATGACTTCTAAAGTATTAGAAGTTAGCCTATCACTGCATTTCACTTTTAAGTCATTATTGACTTAATTAGTTTCTTTCAAACTTTGAAAGGTACATGGCCTAGATTGTGAGCTACCTTCTGCCCTTATGGAACTGAAGTTGCTAAGGCCTAATAGTATTAGATTTATAGCATCTTTCCTCTCAATCACAGAGTAATGAAGGCAAAATGTAATACAAAGTGAAGGCAGCAAAACCCCACATTGATGTAGTCACCTTTAAAATGAAAAACTGGCAGCAGCACTGAGAAACAAAGAAGGATGAGAGAAGACACAAAGCCATGGTATCCAACAGAAACAACAAGAAAGCTTATGAAAATTTGATTCATCTGAGTTTTGTTTTTTTCACTTGGGCGTTGAGGATTAGCACCTTTTTTCTTACCCTCAAAAAAGTCTCTCCTAAATGACCAAAAAAGTCTGTACGGGATAAAGAAACACGGCAACTGAAAAAAAGACTTTTAGGTATGCAGCTTTATACTTTCTCACTTATTTTCCTTCTAGCTTGTGACAGAAAAGAGAACTTACTTCCTGACAGCAGACTCTCCCAACATCCTGGAGGAATGGATTCATGTCCTCCAGAGTATCCTGAGAGTACAAGCAAGCGGTCCTGTTGGTGTTCCTCACAGCGATGCTAAACCTACTGTGAAAGGCTGGCTCACCAAGGTAAAATAATATTTCATACTTCATGTTAGCTCAGAATTGACAGTGTACCAGCTTCTTGATTTGCACAGTAAATGTGAGCAATAAATTAGTATTTTAATACTCTCTGTTAGAGTAGGGAAAGAAGGAAAAGTGGCTGTAGATTTCTGTTTTCAGAGTGAAACATTTATATTAGTGATAAGGAATGGGACAAACAAGGCTACTGAAAGGTACCGACTGTCCAGTAGTAAGTAATAACAAAAACCTAGCTTATTATGCATTTCTTCAGCAAAATTCACAGAATATCATAGTAAAAATATTAACAATGTTGAATGTCACATTTAATTGATCTTTGACTTGGTGATATAGGAGAGTTTATAAAAAGGGTTTGTATTGTTCCAGGTTAGCATTTAGTTCTGTTGTAACAGACTGCAGGTACATTAGTACAAGGTACAATGGGTGAAAATCCTTATTCTTTATATCATTTCCATAGATTAGTTTGACATTGCAAGTTACTATGAATATTTTAATATAATTCTTGTCAGATTCTAAGATGGTCAAAGACAACCTGCATCTGAAGGTTATTCATCTGCAATAGGAAGCAGCTGTCTAGACTACAGGTTGATTCATCTTTTCTTGCTGAGATGAACTGATTTGTTTTTATTAATCTTTAAAATGTTATCCTTAATATTGTATTTCAGTATACAGAATTTCTGAGTTACTATGAATGAGTAAAACACTTCATGAAATTTTAGACCCATTCTCTTAAGCACCCATGTACATGGGTGGAGTGTACTTGCCTGTTTTTGGAAGGGGTGCCCTGTAGGTTTAGAGAGGAGCTTATATTAGCATAAAACAAATAATAGATGCAAAGTTTTAAGGGAGAGTTTAATTTAAAATTGAATTCCTAGAAAGTCATTCTGGCAATACTTCTGTTATTAAAAACATGAATATGTTTGTCCTTCTTACAGGTCAAGCATGGTCACTCTAAGCTGGTGTGGTGTGCACTGATTGGAAAAACTTTCTACTACTATCGAAATCATGAAGATAAGGTAATTCCTTTCCCTTCTTTTTCCTGGACCCTCCTTTCCCTTTTCTTATGAAGATTTTCTTCACTGTTACTACTTCTGTGTCTCGGGTCTCTTTCTTGGTTGTACTTTTCTAACAGCACCTGTTTCACAAAGAGAATCAATATTTTCCCTGATTTTATTTTTTAAGCTTAAATGACAGCAGACTTGAAAGGCAAGTGATTGCTCTTTCTCAGATGACTCTGTATCTTGTTCCTCATTTCCTCCATTTGTCTTGTGTAGCCTTCTGAGCAGACTTTTATGCAGCACCTGATAGATCCCATATTATCATAATGAAAACAGATAATATCAATATTCTGGGAAGAGGGAGGTAATCAATGTTGTGTGCTTCCATTTCTGGACACCTTACCCAATAGTCCATTACTTTGTCTTGGAGATGTCAAACCTCAAGTTTTAGAATATCAAAAACTATTGTGACTTGTATTTGGAATTGACCTCCAGAGTTAGTACAGCAGGTATCCTCTCTTTTATCTGAATCTAACTACTTACAAAATTTTAAAAGTATTTCTTTTCCAGTTGCAAGCAGAAAGTCTGACCAGGGTCAGAAAACAATGGCTCAAGATACTAAGCAACTGATCCTCATGTGTAATGGGAAGAAGGCAGTATCTTTTGGGAAAAAAAATCTTTTTATTTGCATAGTCTCATTCTGACCTGTAGATGCTCTCCCAAGAAAAATAAAACCAGTGACACACTTTGTAAGTACTTTATGAGAGAAGAGATTCTCTAGAAGTGCAAGATTGCATTAGCTAAACATTGAATTGTTTATTCCATCCATTTTACAGAACTTTCAGCATTTTTACTTGGCTTTTCTTTCCCAGTGTTCCTTGTCCATACTGGGAGATGAGTTACATTTATCTAATGTGCTTCTGTTCCTCACAGTGTCCTTTAGGGCATCTGCCCCTGCGTGAGTCCAAGGTGGAAGAAGTAGACCGTTCCTGTGACTCTGATGAAGATTATGAAGCCACTGGTGGAGGACTTCTCTCATCCCACTGCACATTGGTGATTCACCCACAGGACCAGAGTCCCACCTATTTACTTATCCGCACCAAACAGGAGAAGGTATAAAAAGGAGTCTTTTTCTGGAGAGCAAGAGTCTTTTGGTCAGTGAGCAAATGGGTCACACAAGCTTAACCTGTCTGTAGAAAACAGGTCTGAATTGACCCATCCTGTTCTCATCCTTATGCCTAGAACACCTGGCTGTACCATCTGACTGTTGCAGCTGGTAGCAGTAATGCCACAGTGGGCACGTCATACGAACAGCTCATTGGAAAACTATTGGATGCAGAGGGAGACCCTAGTAAGTAAGCACCACAAACTTTTCCATGGTAGCAAAGCATAAGGAAGAATAATTTCAATTCCCAGCTTAATCCAGTCAAAGGTGAGGGAAGGGGATTCTCAGTAGTACATCATATGGTATAGTGTCTTTCTCCCCTTGTTCTCTGCTGCCTCAGATTCTCCTCTGTGGAAGCATCCTATGTTGTGCTACAGTAAAGATGGGTTACACACATCTCTCACTACTCTGCCATCAGAGGCTCTACAGACTGAAGCCCTGAAACTTTTTAAGGTATTTAAAGGGACATTGTATGGTTTTCAGTTATTCTGCTCTGTAGTTGGGGCAGTAACATTGTTTGGTCATATTGTACATTTACTGTCACTATGGGTTGCTTTAGACAGGTCTGCTGGTTCATTTAGTTACGAGAGAACTGTTGGATTTTAAGTGTCATTCATTCTTTGGAGGTTTAACTTTTCTTGTGCAGAATCTGGGTTTAGGAGTAATGCTCCCCACAGACTTTATGCTTCAAAATCAGCTTTGTCTTCCTCTTTCCTCTCCAATAGTTGGATTGAAGGAAACAGCAACAATTCACTAGCAGACTCAGTTGTGTCAGTAAGACCAGTGGTGAAGCTGCTGGAGATGACATTTTTGTGTTCTCCAAGTGTAAGATCAGGAATGAGACTGGACAGTGTGAACATGGTGAACACAGGCATGGAAGGCAGGAAGCACATTTTCCCCTCAATTCTCTTGCTGACTTGTAACTTCCTTAGACTGGGGGAGGTTCAGTAAATTTTCTAGTTGCCATCAGTAAGGAAGGAGGAATAGGAATTAAGTATTGACTCTCTTCCCTCCTCTCAAGGTTATTTATTAACTGTCTGTAAGTTAATAAACATACCTGGTGAACCTGGCCTGCAAAGTACCAGAGAAAAGTTGCTGTAATTGTGGCATTGACTAACTTCTGTCCTTTCACAGTCCTGTCAGCTGTTCATCAACGTTCCCGTGGAGGCATCCTCTATTGATTACCATGTGTCACTTGCCCAGACAGCACTGCAGGTGTGCTTGACACATACCGAGCTGCAGAATGAAATTTACTGTCAGCTTGTTAAACAGACCAGCTGCCGACAACCCCAGAACCACTCAGTCATTCAGGTCAGTTCCTCTTCATTTAGTGCCGCAAAAACTTTCCATTTAATCCCGTTTTTTTAATTAGTAGCTATGGGACTGGTTCTCCTAAAATAATGCTTATGCTAAAGGTGTGCTGGGGGAAGGAGAATCTCAGCACTGATCTTCAAAGAACACTACTAAGAATATAACTTGGAAAATAAATTTTAGTTTAAATGTAGCTGTTTACCACTTGCAAATGGTCTATTCAGATCATATTCAGAATCAAAGTTCATAGCTTGTGTTGTCTTACTGTCATGTGGTATTAATTTTAAATAATCAACAGCATACAAGTCATGAATATTGCTATTAAACATGAAACCTGAATCTTGCACTGTAATTGTTGGGCAAATAAAATTAGTAAGTTACAGCATGAATGTACATAGGCGATTACAATATTCCCAGCTCAAATGAGACGTTAAATTGAGGTTGAATAATAATGGATCTAATTTGAAATAAAGTTTCCCAGTGCTTTTTTGGTTATGATTTTCAGTTACACAGTATTAATTTAAGTCTTAATTGTTGACTCAGTTGTAGTTACACTAAAATTTTCAGAAGTCTAAGTGTTCAGAAGAAGCCAATCATATAGAACTTTTCTCAGAATCCAGATTGAGATACTGAAGAGCAGTCTGCCTGACCATTACAGCCTTTGAAACATCTTGAACTACACATCCACAAGGGGTCACTCCAAAAAGCACTAGTCACCATCCATCCTTTTGGCTGTATTATTCTGTGAAAGACAACAGGTAAGTAGTACAGCACAAGAGTGATGTCCAGTTTTGTGTTCACAGTGCTGGCAGCTCCTGGCTTTGTGTGCTCCTCTGTTCCTGCCTCAGCATCACTTCCTCTGGTACATCAAGCAGCACTTGCAGCGACATGCAGACCCCAGGTAAGGACTGCAGCAGCATTTCCTGCTGCTCAGCTGACTGCCTCCTGCACCCACTGCAGATAAAGAGGGAAGTTTTTTGCTTATGCAGCTACTTTCTTTTACTGACAGAAAGACAGACCAAAGTAATTATTGGGAATGAATTATTCAGATTTTAGGTGATTTTTGTTAAGACAAAAGTAAAAGAGTAAAAGTAAAAAATCCTTTCAAACAAATACTCATATTCCATTAATAAGCCTAAATCTGTCATGGAACTCAAGTCTGCTGGCACTGCAAAGGAAACATGTACTCCTATCAAGTATTTTATTTTCTTAACTGTTGCCTCACATTTGCTATTTCTTCTCAAAAGCAAAAATACAGGTATTGGGCACTCCTTAGTGTTCAGGTTCTCTCTCCATTTGCTAAGACAGCATGTTAGGGATCTTTTGTCTAGTAGTAGCAACTATCTCTTCAAACTTGTGCATTACCAGCTCCCAGACAGACCCATTCAACTCACTAGTGGAGACTAGTGTTAGAGACTGTTGAATTTCGTAAGAATTTGCTGGGCCATGTGAAACTTATTTATTACATCAGCTTTAAGCTCTACTATGCTGCCCAAAAGCACCTTGTGAACAAATATACTCCAGGCAGAAACAAAGAAGTTTATTTATATGATCCAGCTATGAAACAATTATAAGGGCTAGAAAAAAACCCAGAAAATGAAAATGTGCCAGTGTTCACCTAGAGTTTAGCTTAGATTTGGAGCAGTTGCTAAATGGGATTTAGCATGGCTCTTTCTCCCTAGCTCTAGGAATACTTTACTCTCTTTGGATGGAGCACATACAGCTGTTTCTTGACCAGTTAAGTAGATATACTTTCCCCGTTTCACACAGCAAGCAAGAGACTAGAATGTTTACACTGCATAATGCCTATGGTCTAGATCTATTCTAGGTATTAAAAGATCTTAATTAGAAGAATTATAGATCTCGATTCCAGGTATTGTTTTTTGTGAAAGGTGATCTCAGCATATCCAGTCTCTAAGAGAGGAAGAAAAGTGGGGCAGAGTTCTAAGTGAGAAGTCACAGGGCTCAGGAGCATCTGGAAACCAGACATAACAGCTTCTTGATGAAGCAAGATTATTTATTTGAATATTGTCCAAGGTCATTACTGGAGAGGTGAACAATATATTGCTACAGTGAAAAGCCAGAACTCCTGATTTCCATGTTGCTTGTAGGGATTTAACTGGAGGTTTAATCATGTACTGAGTTCCTGAAGGCATCTTGAATGAAATTATTTTCCCCCTGCAAAGTGATAGCAGAGTTATAAATCCATGTAATTCCATTTCAGAGCTTATTGAGTATATACATTCTTAACATTTTTGTGCAAGGTGCAGTTGAGCATTCCTCCTTGACTTTAGAGACACTTACATCTTTTTGATGCTGTTCAGTGGAGCACTCTCTTCAGTAGACAGTAAACTGATCATCCTGATAACTATCCCTATCCTGTAGTGAACTGTAAACAAATCTAAGCTTGCTTGGAATCTCTGTCAAATCTCTTGGTGTCAGATAGGGTTAATGGAAACTTACAGTTTGTACAACCATGTAAATTAATAAACGCAGTTTGTAATGCATTAGTCTCACAGGATTACACAGCTCAATATTTACTAGGACTTGACATGATAGTAACTAAATTACACTGGAATGACAGCAAAGTTTGGGGGTGAATTGATCTCGACTTGACAGATACTGTGATGGCAACAGGGTACAAAAGAAGATATGTGTCCAGTCCACCTAGAAGCAGGGAATACTCTTGTATTTCCTAGAGACTGCATTGTCTGCCTTAGTTTTACAGGTCCTTGGAGCCGAGGTCTGTGTTGTAGCTTTTCAGTTGAGCTGTCAGTCTGTTGAGATGAGCAGTGTATCTGCACAGAGACATTTCTTTACTTGAGCAAAAGCCTGAGGGAGGAATGCGTTGTCATGGCATGGGAAGTTGAAGAGGACATGGCATTGGAGCATGTTTGTGGTTCTCTCCCCGTCTTTGCCTAGGAGTGAGACAGGCAAGTATGCCATCTACTGCCAGAGATCAGTAGAGCGCACCGTGCAGGCTGGGGAGCGGGAAGCCAAGCCCTCCCGGATGGAGATCGTGTCCATCCTGCTGAGAAATCCCTACCACCACTCCCTCCCCTTCAGCATCCCAGTGCACTTCATGAATGGAACGTACCAGGTGAGCCACCACAGCTGCCTTTCTTCTGGGCACTAGAGGACTGCGCCATGGCCTGCCTCCTTCATGTGGGCACCATGGTATTACACATATCAGGTATTGGGAGATAAACACTGCTTCTCCTCCTTGGTGTTTTAGCTGATTTTCCAAAAAAGTGAAAGGAATCCATCCCTAGCTCTACAGATTTTAGGAAGGAAAGGTAGCTGAGAAAAAGGTAGCTGAGAGATGTTGGAAGTGTCTCAATATGGGAAAGAACGTGGTATCAAGGGAGACAGTACACAAGTGTTGTCACTGGAGCTGGCAGTTAATCCTGAGATGCTAATCCATAGAAAACCACCTTCATTCGTTTTGATACTTATTAATGGTCACTATTCTTTTATCCTCAGTTAAGTCCTCTTTCATTGCAGGTTGTAGGTTTTGATGGTTCCTCAACAGTTGATGAATTCATCCAGAGACTGAACCAGGAAACAGGAATGAGGAAACCATCCCATATGGGATTTTCTCTGTTCACAGATGATCCTTCTGGCAGGAATTTGGAACATTGTTTGCCCGGCAATATGAAGGTATTTATTTTTCTCCTCTGCTACCTTTAGTATACATCTTTGAAGGACTGCTAAAAGGTTAATAAATCTTTCTTAATGAATTAAGATCAAATAAGCATGGATATTGTCTATCTAGATTAATATTCACAGACAAGATATTAATTTCTGCACTTGGGTCACAGCAACCCCATGCAGTCCTACAGAGAAGAGTGCTGGAAAGAGGCTAGAAAGCTGCTCAGAGGAAAAGTATCTGAAGATCTTGGTCGAGAGCCATCTGAACATGATCCAGTAGTTTGCCCAAGTGGCCAAGAAGGCCAGTGACATCCTGGCCTGTGTTAGGAACAGTGTGGCCAGCAGGACCAGGAAAGTGACTGTTTCCCTGTACTCAGCACTGGTTTTGGGCCCCTCACAGTAAGAAAGACATTGAGGTGCTGGAGTGGGTCCAGAGAAAGGCAACAAAGCTGGTGAAGGGTCTGGAGGGTAAGTCTGATGAGGAGCAGCTGAAGGAGCTGAGGTTCTTTAGCCTGGAGAAAAGGAGGCTCAGGGGGACCTCACTGCTCTCCACAACTGCCTGAAGCGAGGCTGCAGCCAGGTGGGGATCAGTGTCTTCTCCCAAGTAACAAATGACAGGACAAGAGGAAGCAGCCCAGAGTTGCTCCAGGGGAGGTTTAGATTGCCTATTAGGCAAAATTATTTCACTGAAAGGGTTTCTCAAGCATTGGAACAGGCTGCCCAGGGAAGTGGTAGAGTCACTGCCCCTGGAAGTATTTAAAAGATCTGCAGATGTGTCACTTGGGGACATGGTTTAGTGGTAGACTTGGCAGTGATGGTTTGATGATTAGGCTTGCTGATCTTAAAGGTCTTTTTCAAATGAAATTATTCTATGATTCTATAATTAGCTAGACTAATCTAATATAGTTCTTAATAGAAAAACCTATTTTAGTAGGTAATTAATTGATCAATTTTTAGAAAGTCTAACTCAGATTTTAGCACATATTAAAGTTTCATTTGTCTTGACTACAAAATTGAAACATGACTGAGCTAGCCAGCATGATCAGATATCATAACTGACATCAAATGTGATGCTCCTAATTGAGACAAATTTACATTAGGCTGAGAGTCTTTTGGCATGTCTGTATAAATTCCATCTGTTGGATTATGAAGTATCTCCTTGCTATCTCCAGATAACTCAGGCTTTCATTGTTCATAAGCATACTTGGGGGGAAAGCTCTACTGAGTATGGCTCCACTTTAAGAAAGAGTGTAGTGCCTCAGATCAAGGGAAAAAGAAAGCAGATAAAGTGTTACCATCTGTGACTTTCATATGGAGATTTTTACCCATGCTGTAGCTGAATGGCTGCCTTAATTGAGCAGGCTGGCTGCCGTGAATGAGACCCATCAGATTTTGGTACAAATCTGTGAAAATAATTTGTCATACAGCATTAATGGAGGAATAGTTGTAGTGACAACTTTTGAAGAGGCCCTGATACCTGTAGGGAACTTAAACAATCAATTTTACAGTGTAAAATTTCACATTAAGCAACAGAGGGAGAAGATACCAATAACTTTGAAATAGATGGTTTGAAAGGAAACTACCACAGACAGTGCCAAATGATATAGTTTGTATCATGGCCTGATAAAGATCATGTAATCTGGAGCTTTGCTGGTAATTGGACCATCTGGAGAGATGAGGCATCAGAGTAAACAAAGGACCTTGAGATAATCAAAGGCATCACTTAGCCTGGGCAAGTAAACAATAACCAGCAAAAGTCGGTTGCTTAAGAGAGGTTTAGAGATCTGATGATGTATTTCATGTGGCTTCTTATGCTCACATTCCTTTCATTGAGATGCCATCAAAAGAGAAGTAGGGGGCCTTCATTAGACCACTAGTAAAAGGACTGGAATAACCAAGAAGAGCTGAATGGAACAAAAAAATCCACAAAATCCCTTATGTTATTATGAAAAATATGTGTGAGTTACAAAGTTGGAATCTAAGACCAAACATTCCCAAAATTTGGACATTCACATCCAAGGGTTTGGTACAGCCATGCACATTCTGCTGCTGTTCAGAGGATGTCTTAGTGCTTTAGTTTGGCTCAGGAGGGCACTTTTGAAGTAAACCTACCAATCATTCCTCTTGACCATGCTTTGACTCACATTAAGGAGTAACCTGTGAGCATGAAATGGATTCTTTTTACATGAAACATGAACTGGAAGTTGTCATCCAGCATAGTAGTGGGCTTTCAGGTCACTTGGTCAGACTGCTAGTGTGGGTATGGAGGCTTAGGAATGTGCAGATCAGTTCCTCCTGAGCTTTGCTACTTGCTAATGTAGACATAGCCACGAGAGTTATTACCAGACCAGAATTCAGGTGTCCCCCTGCAGGTTAGAGCTGGAGTTATCAGTTGTAATGCTTTAATTGTTACGTACTGTGCAATAGAAAAAGGAGGTGTTTTGTCACTTTGAACTGTGTTTATGCTGATCCAGTGTTTATTTTCTGTGCTTCATACTATTTTATTCACTTACTTTCCCCTCAAGCCTTGACTATATATTTCATCTGTTTGTGTCTCCTCTCTCCTTGATATTTTTTAAAGATCTGTGATGTAATTTCTAAATGGGAACAAGCCTTAAAAGAATTGCATCCTGGGAAATATGAAGGTGGCACAAGAATTGTAAAGTTGACCTATAAGAACAGGTACTGTCCTCTGTTTGGTGGCCTTACTACTGCTGTTAATTAAACATTCTAGACTGCATATATCTGTGTAGATGACCAGTAATTTATAGTATCACTGGTGCCAAAACTATTTTAGCTAAGATTCAGTTAAATCCTATGGATGATACATTTACAAAAGCATATGGCCTAAGGGTAAAACCCAAACCACTTTGGAACAGCAGAATAGACTTAAAATGAGTTAACAACTAGCTGTAGCACAATAAGGCATCCTTGGCACAATTTCACTTGCCTAGATCCTAAAACTTAATTAAAGAATGTGTGTTAGGTGAGAGGAAGTGAGACCTAGAGGAAAAATCACTAGTGAAAACAAGTATGTTGAAACTTGCAATTAAGTGAACAGTCACTATGATGATAAAGATACAAGAACAATGTTCTAAATTATATGAGCTGTAGAAGAGATATCTAGTAGCAGAGCCCAAACTTTATCAAGAAAGAAATGTTAAAAGTTTGATGATGAAAGGTGGTAGAGAAGGGAAGTACAAAGCAAAGATCTAAATCAAAAATTGGAACGAATTAATCACTTATAATACAGATAGGAATTCTGAATTACAGTAAATCAAGAGCTGTACGAGAACAAGGAATGAATTCTCTTTGCAGGCGAAACAAAGGCTGCCCCAAAACTGAACAGAGAGCTCAATATTGAACATATGAAGGTTTTGTTGACTGTAATGGTGGAAACAAATTTCTGTCAACTTTGTCAGTTGGTATAATAGAGGTGAAAGCAGAAGTTATTGCTTTTGACCCAGAAGGCTGTATTTGCTTCAGGAGTGAAACTTTGCAGAATTATTTTGTTGGGCTGGAATGTGCACTGACTAGACAGCAAGGATGCTTTCATAAGGTCTTTCCAAGGCTGGACTGTTCTAACACCAAGGACTCTGATAAGACATTTGTAAGGTCAATACTGTCCTAATAGTGTAGTTAATCTCAAAGTAACATAAAAATAAATAAACCGATCCATGGGAATGAATACTTATGTAGTGGAAGTGTGGAATTTGTAGCCATAGAGGCAGCTTGAAATTAATGTGTGAATTAATTGTTGTGGACTGTAAGTATGAGGAATAGTTATGGAAAGCATTCCCCAAGTTGGTGTCTTCAACCTCAACTAGTAATCTTGCTATACCATATAAAAAAAAAATCCAGGTGTGAGTGGAATAAAAAACAATAGGATGCTTTGATTTACAAGCATGTTTCCTTAAACAAAGTCTGCTAATTTGGTTTCCTATTTCCTGCTGAAGCAAGCTAAATCATTTTTTAGTAAGTCTTCAGTGTAAGAGGTCAAATCCAAGCTGGCAAGTCTACAAGGCTGTACATGTAGAGCAGAGGTAGTTCTCTTTTCTGTGATAAGCAGAGAAGGTCATAATTTAAATATTGCCTGTCTGTGCTTGATGGAGATGAATGGACACTGACTTAGCTGTGTTTAATAAAGGTTCACTGTCTAGAAGTGGTTGGCTTACAGAATCCAAATAGCTTCCAAAGCTGGGAAACATGTTTTGAGCCTCCTTACTCAAATCTTGTTCATAAGGGAAGCACCTCAGCTTCCAAATCTGTCTGGTACCCCATCAATGAAGAAAAGCCCAAAACAAAACACACTTTTATTTTGCCTCACCTTGAGTTCCCAGCTGTACTTTGAGTTCACAGTATCTTTTTACCTCCACAATCCTCTCTACTTTTAGACTGTACTTTCGGAGCCAAGCCAAAGGTGAGACAGACCGTGAGCGGTTGCTCCTGGCCTTCCAAGTGAGCAATGAAATAGCCAATGGAAGATTTCCTGTTAATAAGGAATTAGCTCTGGAAATGGTGGCTCTAATGGCTCAAGTGAGTATGGCAGAAATCCTCTCTTTTGTCCTCCCTCAGCTGTATCCTGTTTGACTGAGCAGCTCCCTTTTCCATCAAGAGCACATCAAACATACAGTGTGATGTATCTAACAAACACCCATCAGCTGTACTGTAACAAATACACTGAGTAGCATACACGTGTTACAGCACCTTTTGCTGTAGGGAAATTTGCTCTAGCTGTGCCTCTCCTTCTCTTCTCAAGAAAAATACTGGCAAAACCAGAATGAGGCTGGACTATCACCAGACCTGCTCCAATTAGTACCTTAGTACAGATACGGAAATAGTACCACCACTAGAATTCCATTAATAGTAAAAACTTCCCCTCTTGCACTGCCAATACCCTCTTACTCTTCTAAAATCCTCCATTAAGTTGCCAGGCTTGCATTTAGTATTTTACTACATAAAACACACATTGTGGATTGTTGGCATGATAAGCAGAATAATAATAGTTTTTTACTGCCCTGAAACTGCATGTTGTATTTGTTAAAGCAGCGTAAACTGAGGTGAAGAAGCTGGGAGCACGGTTCAAACTATTTACAAATATGCTGTTGTTTTAATTGGCCAATTGAAAAGAAATCCCCAAAGCCTGGCTGTTCATACAGATGTGTCCCCTCACATGGCTGAGATCATGCTCCACTCTTGGATCAGTAGATAATTCCTTGGGTAGTGGTGTCCTCAGTGGTTGCTCCTTTGTATCCATTTACTATGGTTAATGCTGTAGACAGTGTTCCCCAGCCTGTGTCCTTTTGCATGACTAATAAACACAGTAGTTGTCAGTATGGGAATTGATGGAATGTTCGAGTGCATTAAAAACCTCCTACTTCTGTTGCACTATAATGTTGTCTTAGGTAGAATATGGGGATTTGGACCGACCAGGATCTTCAAGTCCTGGGGGAGCATCACAAATGAAAATGCAGCATCTTCTGCACCAGGTTTTAGATAAATTCTACCCCAAACACTACAAGCAAAATATTACTCCTGAACAGCTCAGGTAAACCGTTGGTTCTTCAATACTTTGCACTGAAATCAGCTTTTACTTGCCAAATTGTCTTACATTTAAGAAGTTTCAAGGAGCCCTGTCAAGATTATTTGATGTAGAAACTCAAACAAAAGTGTCAGGAAAAGATTCCCTTAAAAGAAAAAACAATATAAAAAGAGCCAACTCACCAACTAATTTTGCCATAGACAAGAAGTTTAGGACTTTCCCTTCCAAATTAGGCATCTCAGTTTTGATGAACTAACCCAAGCCTAAGATGAATTCTCTGCGTTTTCTACTTCCCCCAAGTGTCAATTGAATCCAGATGCCTAACATGTGCAATGAGCCATAAAGCCAGCTTATATGGGTTGCTGCAGTAATTCTGGTAGGACTTATTTTGGCAGGGGTTTTTTTGTGTTCTGGCTTAGAAATTCTCACACACAATACAGAGATCTCAAGTACAAAATTCAGATGTTGAAACAGATCTCAGATCTATCTAATTTAAAGTGAGAGAATGGTCTTCCTACAGATCCTAAGCCACTTAGGGATGCAGTGGTGAAACTAACACAGTTACCTCCTGGAAGCAAATTCCATCTGCATGTAGCAAGGTAGCTGCCAAACCCTCCCTAGTGAGCCAAATCAAGAGTGAGTTAATATATATTGCCACTCCATATAGAGCATACTATAGGCAAGGTATGAGGAAGGTGAGATCTAAAATAAATTCAGATTGTAGAACTGATAGTGCTAACATCCCTGTCTGTATGTGCTGTGTAGAACAGCCCTTTTGGAATAAAAAGGTGCATTTATTAACTGTTCTAATTTTACATATCTTTCCTTGGAAGACATTAGTATATAATAATGTACTAATAATGTGTCTTGGATTTCTAAAGGCAACTGACAGACAGGCTGGCGACAAAGTGGATGGTGCTGCAGGGATGCTCTCCACCAGAATGCATTCGAATTTATTTGACAGTGGCCCGGAAATGGCCTCTCTTTGGAACCAAAATATTTGCTGCTAAGGTAACTGGAGCACACTTTTTTTCTGTTGCCAAGAGTGAATTATCTGAGCAGAGACATACCTACAGTCTCTGGTAACACGGGTTGAAAATGCTTCTACTTCAGAAAGGGAAAAAATTGAACAACTCTCTTCTGAACGAGCAGCCCTGGTACCAATATAGGCTGAAAAATAAGGCAGAAAAGTATATTCGAACCACTAGGGGCTGCTAGTGTTCAGTAAATAAATACTGAAGGTTCCCTGGCTGTGTCAATTGATCAGGATTATTACCTGTCCTTACAAGCCTTGTCAAAGCTTTCTCAGGCAGGAATTTCCCTGGACATCAAGGCTGCAGTGGTAGGACCTTGAAGGAAGTCTTCATCATGGTTACTTATCTATCTCTTGTTTTGAAGTCAAAGGTGCTCAGTTTACAGAAAAAAAAGTCTAATGATGAAAGGGACCTCAAAAGACAGTTATTTCCACTCTCAGGACTAAAAAAGGTTACTGTCAGAAGAGGTTATTGGTATTTGAGATTACTGACAGAATATGTAATTGAGTATACTGAAGAATCAGAATATAGAATAGGTCCACCCACAGGTGAAATAATGTTGGTACTCCTGATGATTAATGTATTTTATAACTTTTCAGCAGTGAAACAGCAAAGCCTATGGCATTAGCCATGTAATAGCAGATTCCCAGGAAAGATTTAATGTCATTAGCCATAACAAGTCATCTTCAACAGACAATTGATGCACATTTGCTATAACATTCTGTAAGAAACAAAGTAACAAAGTTGCATTGATGTGATGGTGCTGGGTGCACTGATGTAGAAACCAGCAGGTTTCACTGCCTTCCTGACAGATAGGAGCAGTATAGACACATGCTGAGCAAAGTTGCCATGCTGTTGCTCTGTCCTAGCATTTCCTTCAGTTTTAACCACACTTAGATGATGGCATCTAATTAATTTCAAAATGCTTGTATCTTCTGTGCCACTACTCCAAAAAGTGTGTGTAAATCTGAAAATGTTACTCCAAATTTCGGGGAAAACTGTCTTAAAAATCAAACCAGATCACACCAGTAAGCCTTTAGAATCTTTTCTCATCTTCACTTTATCCTTACATCTCAACATTTATATCAGAAACATCATTCTGTGGTGGTCAAGAAATACCTGAATTAATAATTTTCTTTCTCTCTAGCCTATTTTGCCTTCCTCGTTGGAAGACTGTCCAGTCTGGATAGCTGTGAATGAAGATGGTATCAGCATACTGGATTATAACACAATGGTATGTTGAGGAACACTTGTTTAAGAGGAATACCTTACCTAGCACAAAGGACATTCCCCTGAGTCCAGTGAAGGTCACTAGCAGTTTGTCTTTAACTTCTGGATCCATTTCAGGTTAGTTTTTAAAAGTCAGAGATGAGCGAAGTCAGTATCATGTTTGAACACTCCATAGACAAAGGAAAATTACAGCTGTAGTGTAAGATAGGACAGCAAACATGTTCATACATCTTGCAAACTCTCAGTGGTGTGTGCTTTCCTACCACCATCTGGAATAGAACAAAATCTGTACTGTGAAGTCGTGAGGCATGGAGCACACCAGGAGAAACTAAAAATGCAGTTCTTACTTGAGCTTTCTCTGCCAGCTATTACCTATAGAGCCATCTACTGCCCTTCACTGCTGGAGACCTGGTGTTCTTGCAGGCAGTAGCAATATAAACTAATATATTAGTTTGAGGTATTCATTTGGACTTTTTTACAGAACTATGACTTTTTCAAACTCTCTGTCTGCAGCATTTGAAGGTCTCTTATTCATACTCCTCTGTGCTGACCTTTGGAGGCTGTCGAGATGACTTCATGATTGTAGTCAGTCAAATGAAAGAAAGAAGTTCTGGAAAAAATAGCACTGAAAAACTCCTCTTCACAATGGCAGTTCCAAAGGTAATTACAAATGAAAAGTGAGTTTCTTTCCAGCTGGCAGCATCACGGCTGGGTGTTTTGTACAAGCCCTGGGGACTGGTACTTGTGGCTGCTGCACTAGCTATATATATATTCAACAAATCCTTTGTAAGCTGGAACCTTTCAATAAGAGACTTATTCTATTCAACTCTCAAAGACAGAGCTTCATTTTAAAACAGAACAATTCCATGGGAGAAAGCCATTTACAAAAGCTATGAGGTCAATAGATTCTAAAAATCAAAGGGCATCCTTACCTCTAGTTGACCTACAGTTAATAATTTTCTCTTTTCCCCAGATCGTTGAAGCAACACTTCTGATTGCCAGCTACATTAACTACCGTTCAACTCCTTCACTGCTGTCTTCCACACAGCCCTCAAGAAGCAAAACACCTGCTAAGAAGCCCTGGGAGACTGAAAATCGGTGCTTTCTTCCTTCTGTGCCCCGAAGCACAAAGGGGCCCACCCTGCTCTAAGGGCTTGTTCCATATGAACTGATTTGGTTGGTTATATACACCACAGATTAATGCAGGCTCTGATTCTTTTTCCATAATAATAGACAAAGTTCCTTAGAGGTAGAGGCAGTGGACTTTCTCGTAAAAAAAAAAAAAAACCCAAATAAACCCCACAAAAAACCCCAAACCAAAAAAACTTGATTTGGGCTACTGTGCAGGAGTTTCCTTTCCATGACATTCCATCCGAAATACAATCCTCAGGTCCATTTGCCTGCACAGTGCTCCAGTCATTACATCTGCACTCATTCTTCCATCTCCTACTGTACTGCTTTGCTTTACAAGTACATACATTGTCTTTGACCCTCCCATTTTCAGCTTTCAAAAGACAGGAACTTTTGTGTCCTTGCTCAGACATAAAAGAAAGACATTGCTGAGAAGGAAAAGGAATTAAACTCACAAGAATAATTCTGATGCAAGTCAAGGGTGATTTCAGACCTGAAATAGGGAGTATAGAATTAGAGTTCAGCAGTACTTAAGAGTATTTTCAACTTTAAATAAAGATGGAAGCCTAGGGTCTTTGCATGTTGAGTACTGAGAACAACTGGGTGTGGAACAGTGTCAGAGGATGCCCTGGCACCTACAGGACTGATGCATTTCGGAAACTGACACTGTTCTATGCAACAGATGAACGTTAGATTGCTGCTGCAGGGCAGGGCTCAGTGTGTCACATGCTCCACTGTCAGACAAGCACTTTCTAAGACTTTCTGATGGCCACTGCTGTAGATGTGTTTGGAACTGCACATTGTCTCAGACAAAGGAAGACAAGACAAGCAAATTTTGTACTTTTTCTATCTTTCAGCAACTAGGACAGATCTTCCCAGACAAGCTCTGCCATTCTGACTTGACAGGAGCTGCTTCTTTCAAACTCCTGCTTCCTTCATGTACCCTAAGCAAGGAGGAGGTAGTCAGCAACTGTGTACTCATGCTCTTCTGACTTTGCTAAAGAATGGTGGTAGGTTTGATTTTTTTGATTTGTTTCAAAGGGACTTCATTATGAGGTTATTGAATTTTAAACAAATACAAGAAAAATAGCAATTCTTCATAAAAAATATCTAAATCTACTTAGCTTAAGTTCAGCTATTTTGATAAGCATTCTAAAAAAGCTAAGGAAGAATGCACTTTGAAAAGTGTCATGTCCAACTTCATAATAATTATGCATTCATGGGCAGCTTTCCCAAATTAGAAGTGTGCATCCAACCACTAGATGCAAGTCAGTACTAAGAAGCCAGTTATTTGCAAATAAACAAACCAACCATACCAGTATTTTTATTTTCTAGTACCTGCCACCAACCTTGACACATCCAGCTAATGCACACAGGGGAGCTAATACATCAAGGTTTTCTTTCATGCTTATGATAGGTGCAAAGCCACAAACTAAAAGAGAAGAGCAGGGGGCAGACAAAAATTGTTCTAAGCAATCCCTCATCAGCATCTTTGTAATATAAAACAGAAAAACCCAAACCACCAAACAAAACAAACTCAACCCCAAATCATCCCATAGTGAGTTATAGAAGCAGTATGGCAGACCTAAGACAGGAAAAGATTGTATGAACAGTGACCTGATTTGCACATACTGTAATATACCCACTTGTTATGAATTTAAAGACCATCCCTTGAAGATACAGAAAAGGGTAGAAGCTTTCTGAGCCGAAAAGGACTTTAAGAAGGTATTTAGTAATTTTTTTTCCAGTTTCTAAATATTCCGATTGTAGTTTGTATTTCCCCTCTCTCTCACAATTGTCTTAGTACAGCTATGTCAGTTTGATTACACTGTTAGTCCTCCTCACTCTATGACCTGTGCCTGACAATTTCTCCTGTATCTGAAGTTGTTTGACAGTTTGCTTCTGGTATGCCACCAGTAACAAAGCTGCTTCAGAATGGGCTGGAGTCATCATCAGTGCTGGGGATGCTCAAGGCATAGAAATCTCCAGTTCACAGGCTGTATTTCCTCACAGTGCTAACACTCCTGTCCTCAGAGACTTGAGGAGACTTGTACCAGGGCAAACAGGAAGCCAAGATGTTAAATAAACAGGAGCTCTCCTGAAACTTACTATTTTCTGCCACAATTGCACTTTAAATTGAGAAGCATGATACACAAAACTTTCTTTCTTCCTTATTTCTTAAAAATATTCACCAATACTTGAGTGTTTCAGGGACCACCCCACTCTGATGGATGCACATAGCCCTCCTATTTATGGCTTACCTGTCTTCAAACACCCCACCCTGTGTAGATACCTACTTTGTATAATTCTTTGGTAGAGAAAATAATTTTTTATTTTAATCAATGCTTTTGGCAATGACTGTTAATGCAGCATAGAATAAGATGACAAAAGCCTTTGTGTTCCTAACTGCTGTGTGTAAGTAAAAGGCTGTCTGGAAGATGCTGTGAGATTTCTGTTTGTTCTTAATAAAATGCAGTTCATGAATTAATAACCATTAATTGTGTATTATTCTCAAAATGAAATAAACTATTTTAAAAGCCAAAATATTCTTGATGTAAACAAAAATGAACATAGATTGTGTTTGGCATCCAGACACAAACCATAGCTGGTACAAACCTGCCCTAGACTGATTCCTTGTTTTTCTCTGCTGCTACTCTGTCAGTTTAAGTGGAGGACTACACCAAGAATGTTCACTCTTTCAAAAGATTGCTGAAACAATCTTTCAGACTTCCTGCTGTGACACAGCTTCTTGGTAATTTCTTCAGTGCACATTCTGAGGACTTAAAGGGATTTTTACAGCATAGTAAGCATTCCCAGCAGACTCCTGAGCCCGTGACACTCTACACTCTGTTGAGACATCTTTTCTTTTCTGACACAAAAGGCAATGGCACATCCCCAAGCTGCTGCCTTTCACTTGGACAACCAGAATACTCCTGTGACATGAGCTATCCTCTGTCTTTCAGACCACAAATGCCCTTATCTCTACCTTATTGCATGATGGTATGGTGCCAAGTGTTCATTTATAGATTATGTGGACAAGTAGGGTACAGCGTTTTATGCAAAATAATCATAAAAGCAGGCTCCTGCCAATCTGTGGCTTTAGCTCTTGTTCTGACACTTCAGTCACTTTGTTTATATTACTAAGGAGTCATGGAATATAGAGAGAAAAATACCAGTTTAGTGTTACAGTAACTTTTACTTATCAACAAAGAAGAATTTCCCAACCTTAAGTTACTACCAAGAGCACAGATCAATAAAACTTTATGCACGTTGTCATTACAATAATTTTTAACAACACATGTGCCTCATATTCTCAGAGTAACTGATGTGGCCCTTTAAATGCCACATCTTTTTGGTGCCCTGTGTCAGCAGGTGCCCTGCCCCATTCAGCAATGGGTTCACATTTTCCCTGTGTTCCTTTTGATAGTTAAGCACTTACTGAAACCATTCTTGTTGCCTTTGACATCCTTCTGATTCATCACCAACTGATTCATCTCCAGCTGGGCTTTAGCTTTACTAACTGCATCTCGAACAGTGTTGCTACATTCCTCCCAAATCACCTGTCCCTAATTCCACCTTCTGTTTACTTCTTTTTTGTGTTCAAGCGTTGCCAGGAGCAGCTTGCTCACCCATGCAGGCTTCCTGGCATTTCTGCTTTATCTCCTGCTCATTGGGATGGGCTGTTCTTGATATTAGAAGAAATGATCCTTGACTATCAATCAGCTTTCTTGGATCCCTCTTCCCTCTAGGGCCCCATCCCATGGGACTCTTTCAAGCAGATCACTGAAGAAGTCAGTCTTCAGATCTCTTATGTTTATTTCATTAAACATAACTGAACGTAACAGTTTCATTTTCTGGTTTTGTCCTGAAATTCTCCTGTGATCAGGAAGTTATTATCTGAGCCAACACATCAGCTTTGGTATTTAGAGTGTGTTTTTCAAACAAAGGGTTAAATAAAAACCAAAGAATGCATACTCTTATGGCAGTCCAGCCAAGGTTATTTTATAATATTAGCATAATTTTCAGATACACAAAAGAGTAAAAAAGTGATGCATTTTCTTGTCTCCTTTTGCCCTATTTCCTCATAATTCTTTTCTGGAGATGCAAGAAAAAACCTTTCCTGTACGAGCCTAAAAAGTTCTGCTCATGGGGGAGTTTTGCTTGCTTTTCCATGTGAACCTCTGGCTTCTGCTGAAAGTTTGTTGCCTTTTTTTTCAGCTATTTTATTTCACTTGATTGTGGAGCTGTCTTCCTCTGCTCCAGGATCTCTTGACAACTTTTGTACACTTCTATCAAGCAGTCCAGTCGTGGCTTGGAGCTCTACAAGTCAAACAACAGAGTATCAGGCTCTGAACTGAAACATGGATTAATTTTACCCAAACAGCAAACAGTGGTCAAAGTACAATGATTTTTCATCAATTCTAACCTGGGCCAGATTAAAACCAGAAAGGAAGTGAAAGTTTCACAGTTCCCCAGTCCCTATGATCCTACAACTTTTGAGCTCCCAAAACAGCATTACTGTGTAAAGTCCATCAAATGCCTCCTTGCAAGAGTTGCTTAAGAGAACAAAAGGTCAATTCAGGGCAGTAAGGCTCCTGGGCTGAGTGACACGGGAACTTGTGTTTTTGAAGGCTGATATAACTTAGAGAAACACAATGAAGGAGCCACAATAAAGTTACTAATCATTGCTCCTTCAAAACTAACATACTAACTTGCATGTTAAAATAATTACAGACAGATACTGAATTTCAAAATGGAAGAATTCCGTACCTCCTTTGCTGCTGGAGTCAATTCTACTGGTACTAAGCTATTTCCATGAAAATAAAACTGTTCAGAGTTGAATGGTCAAAAAAAAAAGAAGAGAGAAACAATACAGATGCCAGGCAGACCCTTTGAACCTGGAAAGGAGCATACCTAATTAAAATCAGGTACTTGAATGCAGCTATCTGGAATTTAGTAGCTGTTGATTTCCAGCAAATCTACTTTTCCCCTTGTCGAGAAATATCTAATTTATATTACTGATACTGAACATCTTTACGATTGTGGGACTGAGTTAGCAGCAAGTATCAACGGAATAGACTATTTAGTTTTTAGCTGAAGTGATTACAAAACAGTCACCAGCAGCAGGTGAATTAAGGACAGAGGGCTGTACAGCTCAGCAATCTAAGAAGTGAGGTACATCCATACTGCTTACTAGCCCTCAAGGATAAGGGTATTGTTGTGTTAGGCATGAACACATACAAATCCATTCCAAAAATGAGATTAGGAACAGTCAGAACATGTTAGCAAGAGAAGAGAGAGGGGAGACGAGGTAACGGCAACACAAACAAGTTATTATACATTAAGCAAATTGGTCATGGCTTGTTCTGTGATCCTTGTCAGCAAGTCAGGCAGGGGAAGTCATCCCAATGCCAAGGAGGTTTTATGAATTCTGGTACACAGAGCTGAGAGAAAAATCAACTGCAGCACAGTGCCAGAGTTATGGTGGTAACCCTGAGCACAGGACTGCACAGAAAGCTCTACAAGTCCGCAGCACCCTGTATGAGCCAAAGACTTTTAGTTCATGCAAACTCCTGGCTGGGTTCAGACTGACACAACTCTCTATTGTTTGAATGGAGAGCAAATGAAAAAACCCATCCGTAGTTCTGTGAGACTTCAAAAGCCACCCACCCTGACAGCCCAGCCAGGGAAAGGCAACTGTCAAGGCTACCTGTAGTGGAATTAAAATATGCTTAGACAACTGGTGCACACACACAGACCACAATCTGGATATCTCCACCATTCAGTCAAACTCACCTGAAAGAGTGGCACAACCTCAGATACTCCCTGAGGATCTTCAGGGTCCCGGAGAAGGATACACAGGTAGTAGATGACTTTTTGCTACAAGACAAACAGACAAATATCACTGGAGTTAGCACAGAAATAGGATCTGTTTCAACTCACTGGGCTGAAGGCAAATCCTGCCAGGTCACAGTCAAGTCTACAAATTTTTATCGATAGCTTTCACTCAATACAGGAATAATTTACCTGTTTTTTTCTACTAAGTTTTTAATCTGAGAAGAATATATATATGCTAAAAGGGTAAGATCTGCTTTTCTACAGGAGCTTTGCAGAAAACCCTGGCAGTAGGAAAAACCATCGTTTGTATTGTCTTAGCTTCTCATCTCC